AAATGGGCCAGCTCTTTATGATGGGCTTTGATGGTACCTCGGTCAGTCCAGAGATTCGCTCGCTCATTGAAGATTACCATTTGGGCTCTATACTTCTGTCCGCTAAGAACCTTAAATGTAATATCTAAATCTTCTCCCTTTCTTGATAGTTACTAATCTCACCAACAGCCGCGGAGGAGGCAACTCGGCTGGTCCTCGAGCTGCAAACCATTGCCCGTAATGCCGGTCATCCTGTGCCATTACTGATCGCGCTGGATCAAGAAAATGGCGGGGTCAACAGCCTATACGATGAAATATACGTGCGTCAGTTCCCCAGCGCCATGGGTATGGCTGCGACGGGATCAAAGACATTGGCCCACGAGGTCGCAGTGGCCACCGCCCAGGAGCTCAAAGCCGTTGGTGTCAATTGGATATTGGGACCGGTCTTAGATGTCTTAACCAATGTACGGAATCAACCACTCGGTGTGCGCACCAGCGGAGATGATCCCCAAGAGGCATCCCACTATGGGGTCCAGTTTATGAAGGGGTACCAAGAAGCAGGGCTGGTCACCTGCGGCAAGCATTTCCCTTCCTATGGCAACCTGGAGTTTCTGGGCTCCCACGCAGATGTTCCGATCATCACGGAATCTTTAGAGCAACTAAGTTTGAGTGCATTGGTGCCCTTTCGCAATGCCATTATGCAGGGTCTCGATGCCATGATGGTGGGCGGCGTATCCATATCATCGGCTGGGATGAATGTCATGCATGCCTGCTTGAGCGACCAAGTGGTGGATGATCTCTTGCGAAAGGATCTCAAATTTAAAGGGGTTGTTGTATCGGAATGCCTAGAGATGGAGGCTCTGACTCACAATATCGGCGTTGGGGGTGGCACGGTAATGGCCAAAAATGCTGGTTGTGATGTTATCCTGCTTTGCCGGTCGTTCCCAGTGCAGCAAGAGGCAATCAACGGATTGAAATTAGGCGTGGAGAATGGCATCATTGGCCGTCCTCGGATTCGACAGTCATTACTCCGTGTGCTGAACCTGAAATCACGCTGCACCTCTTGGGAACAGGCATTGAACCCTCCCGGTCTCCTATCCCTCACGCAGATGCAACCTTCGCACACCAATCTCTCAACGCGAGCCTATAACAACTCCATCACCGTCATGCGCGACGAAAATAATCTGCTTCCTCTCTCCAACGTCGTCGATGCTAACGAAGAGCTTTTGCTCCTGACGCCTCTAGTGAAGCCACTTGCAGCGTCTGCGGTGACTCTGTCCACAAATGAATCCAAACATGGGTCTCTTGATCCGGCAGCTACATTGGATCGAACTGCCTCGGTGGTAAGTGGCGAAAGTGTCTTCAAAGAGCTGGGAAGATCCCTTTCTCGGCAAAGAAATGGCCGAGTACTGCATACCTCCTACACGGCCCATGGGGTACGCCCGATCCACGAAGATCTCATTAAACGAGCTAGCGCTGTGATTGTGATCACGGCAGATGCCAACCGCAATCTATATCAACAAGCCTTCTCCAAACATATCTCCTTACTCTGCCAGTCCCAGTACTCTCTGTCCGGGGAACGTTTTGAGAAGCCTTTAGTCGTGGTCGCCGTCAGTTCACCATACGATTTTGTTACGGATTCTTCCATAGGAACTTACATATGCACCTATGATTTCACCGAGACTGCATTGCAGACTCTGGTCAAGGTTTTGTATGGCGATTTGACACCAACCGGGTGTCTGCCAGGTTCGATAAGCCGGAGCCAGAAAATCCACCAGTCCCGTCAGCACTGGCTGGTCGAGAATTGGAATGAGGATCGAGATGCCCATGCTCTAGATGCGCTGTTAGACATTGTTCGCGAAGACTGCACGAAGGGCCAGCAGTCAGAGCTCCTCGGTGCCACATCCAATAGCTTCCTTCTTCGGAAAGAAGACATTGACGAGGCTCATTTTGTGGTTCGCAACAGCAGCACACAGGCATTGTATGGATTCTGTGCAACCTATTTCTTCCGGTCTACCGGTACCGGAGTCATTGGATGTTTAATCGTCGATCCGTCACGACGAAAGTTGTCCATCGGGCATTCTCTGCATAGCCGCGCGATCCGTACTCTTCTCCAGCGGAAGGGAATGAAACGATTTCAGCTAGGGTCACGACTCCCAGGAATCTACCTGGGTATTCCGACCGTAAGCTCTGTGGAGCGCAAGCGACTGCGACAATGGTTTGCAAACTTGGGATGGAACACAGCACTTTCTCGCCCGGTGTGCAGCGTGGTGCTGCGCAATCTGGGTACGTGGACCCCACCGGACGGACTCACGGTGGCGTTGAAGAATGCCGCAGTGAACTACGACCTGGTCTACGGATGGGACTACGCTCGTGAGATTCTCGACCACATTAAAACCAATGCGCGACAAGGGGTCACCGACATATACCGCGTCGCGCTCGGGGGCGCCCCGAATTGTGGAATTATCCGCGCCAAGCGACCGTCGGACGAGATGATTTTAGGCAGCATCGTGATCTACAATGAACGCTCGGCGTTGGCGGAGCATATGCCGGCCTTACGCGCCACTCAAGGCCCGGTCGGGGGAATCTCGTCGCCCGTTATTTCCCCATGTGCGGACGATTACTCGATCGTCATGCAGGGGCTGATCCTGCTGGCCATTAAACAGATCCAGAAACTAAGTGCGCAGGGCGTGGTGATGGACTGTGTAAGATCTGATCCTTTCTCTTCTCTCGATCCTGACTAACGTGATCAACAGGTGGATGGTGACGGTAACTTTGACTGTATTTCTTCCTTGGGCTTTAGTATGCTCCATAGTTTTGAGGAGGTCAATTGCGATGCGGGCACTTGGACGATGATGCATCCATCCTAACCGCTTTGCTATATAAGGTATTGTAGCTCGGGCCTTTTTTTTTTCTTTTTTTTTTTCTTTGGTTTTATTTTGATCGCATCTATGATATCCATCTGGGCATTGATTATACTGGTCCTGAGGTCTAGGGTTTGGAGAGTCAATTGGGGGGGGGTTTTTTGCCTTGTTTTTGCCTCCCCTTCCCTTATTTCTGTGCATATTACGACTCGGACACGGTGGGTGGGACAGGAAGTTAGTACGGCGTCATTCGGACCAATATCACCTCTTTTTTTTTTTTCCTTTTTTTCTTTTTGACTTGAGATGTCGATCACGGGAGATCCGCAAGTGTGAAGCAAATTAAAAGCCTCGAAAGCCTAAGCCCGTAAATTGCTGAAACGGTGAACCGAAAGCATCGAGTGGAGCTACATAATAAGGACCGCTCACTGGACCGGACGTCCGCAGGAGCTTGGGCGAATTAACTTCAGAAAAAATCCAGGTCAATATAATTTATCCTGCTTTGATACTCTTGGCGCCGGAGGCGAACAAAAAAACCAAAGTCAATCCGGTCCTCCGTGCGAGGCTTGAGGGGAAATCGGATAGGTCGGATATGGGTGTTTCGTACCTTTGAAGGTTTTTCTATGCCATTCTCGAAGTACAAACGTTCAAAGTGTCTCGGGCATCGGGACGAGACTTCCATCCGGAGATCTGTGAAAACCCCTTCTTTGTCGTACAATCTAGGATACGGATCTTCTCTATACGCTTGGATCGCGTACCCACCGGGACCCTGGAATTAACCGATTTAGGCCATTCCTGAGGATTCTGGGTTCTACCCGTTCTAGAATGCGAGAAAACATATGAAACCACCGTCGTACGGGAGAGATTCATGGCCTGTTTCCCTTGGCCTGTAGAACGGTATTTGGCGTAGAATCGACGGTCTTTCCTGGGAAATGGACTGGAAATGGCTTGATTCAAATCCGCCGTAAAAGGGTTGTTCTCCACATAATGTGAGGATGATCATTGGCTGGTCTGTTCACGAGTCCCAAGTCGGAGATAATCAAATCGGGTAAATGCACGGGAGATGAGAGGTCGATCCTCACATGGACCCAACGGTCTAGGCTGCATTGTTCCACATGCTTGTGATGCCGCGTGAGATTACACAAGTATGACCTGGATGCATCACCCGACCGAACCTGCAGAAGATCATTGCAAAAAGAAAAGAAAAAGAATCGTCAAATCATGAGCAGACGTGGCCCACTGATTTTCCCTCGGCCCCCACGGGCAGAGCTGCGATCAGAGTTTGGGAGCTGAAGCAAAGACTCGGTTCCTGACTCCGACTGGATGCGGACTCCAGTTGTCAAAGTGGATTTGCCCGTTCGCGGTGGGACCCGGTCATAACCACCAATCATGATTGTGAGAAGACGATCGCAGGTCACTTCCTTTTCTTTTTCGCTCGTGTCCTGCTGGATCGATGCATATGGTGGCGTTCATTGGGTGGGCCACCCCCTTCCCACGATGGCGCTGCATGTCAGACGGAACCCATGTTGATCATCGATCCTTTAGAAATGATCGTGGATTTGGTCAATGGGATTTAATATGTTAAGTTCAATAAAAGCAGAAAGTGGGGAAAGTAAGAGGGAGCGATAGAGAGATAGAGAGAGAGGGGGGAAATATGGGGAAGATTGGTAATGATGCTTGACTGAAAACGAACGTGTATCGGGTACAGTATAGTATAAACCATAAGTTCTATTGCATGTTTGAGGATTTAGGATTAACAGGAAATTCCATATGAATTTGGTGGCGTCTAATGATGACCATCGGTGGATTCATAGTTCTTCACAACATGATCTTCAGGGCCCATACCATACACTAGATACCAGTGAATACCATCGGAATACCCCCTTCAAGTCCCCTCCCATATCGTCCGTCGAATCATACCACGATTCTGGGGGTTTTTTCACTTCTCATGGTTTGCCGACAGCCGAAAGCCCCCCTAAACCGGTGTTTAATTGATTAAAACCAATACGGAAACCCGTCTTCGTTCTCCGCAAAAACCACGGCTCCACTTTTCCCCGAATCCGTTCGCATCTGCTCCTCTTTCCTCTTCTCAAGACATTCCATTCCCCTTGTCCTTCTTCTTTCTTTTCTTGTGTGAGTTCTATCTTCATTTTGCCCGCCATGGAGGGCTTCGATACCATGGCTATGCCGCCTTATCTGGCGAGCCCGCTCTCCCTCGGCAATCTCCAAGGCTCCGACTACCTGAACGCCATGTCCGGCCTCGATCTCCCCGACCATCGTTCTACCTTTGACTCCGAGACTTTTGTTAGGTAAAGATTCCCCTCCCACTCCAGATTTGATATACAAAAAAAGGCGGATGAGAGGAAAGGGGAAGACAAAGGAAGAAAAAGAGTGCAAACAAGACTAACCAGAGGTAACGATACAGTGGGGATGATCTCGCCTTCACCCAAGGTGGGCTTCCACGCTCCAATGTTCCGCCCTCCTTGGAGCGCTTCCCCTCGGGGTACGATGACCCTTTCACCGACATGGTCGCTCCCTTTGATCCTGTCCCTCCGGAGCAACCACAGGACTCTTCGATCGATCACAACAATAAATTACTGAGCTTCTCGCTTCCCGTCTACCACTTTACCTTACTCGACTACTCCATGCGACGGACATCCTTGTCCGTCTCCGCCCAACTACATGGAATGTTCTTTTTGGCCGAATCCCCTTATACTACATCACCGTCCGAGAATGCCCCGCCGCAACAGGGAGCCGAGTTGACCTGCTACCGTCGCAATCTATTCCAGATTACCGGCTCCGTCACCCTGCCCCGAGGCATGCGTTATATCATGACCGATAATGGCGATCGGATCCCCATCTTGGCTCAGGAACTGACTGTCTCGGCCACGGAATCGGTCGAAGGGAACCCTGTCAAGATCATCTCGGTGCCCTGGAAGACTCCCTCCGCGGCAGCTGCGAACGCCGGCACTGCCATCGAGGATCACAATAATGGCGCGGCCAAGGTCGAGAAGGAGCCTCAGGCAATCCCACTGGACATCATGGCGGGTCAGGATCTAGATACGGACTACGCTACTTTCCCCATCGCCTGGAAGCGTTTGCAGTTCCGGGTGGCCACGGCTAACAATGGTCGCCGGAAGGAGTTGCAGCAACATTTCGTCGTTCGGCTCAAGGTGGTCGCGACATTGTCCACCGGGGCCAAGATCTCCATCTCAGAAGTGCAGTCGGGCCCTGTCATTGTCAGGGGTCGCAGTCCACGCAATTTCCAATCCCGAAAGGACCTACCCCTCAGTGGAAGTGCTGCAGCATCACGAAAGAACCAGGCCAACTCGGCAGCTCTCAATCGCACCCCAACTAGCGAGTCGGTCCCCCGCCGTGCTAGCGTCACCCCAGCTAAGGCCAAGGCCCCATCTACCACAGTCCAGAGCAGCTCCCCTGAGACCACGTCCGTTCCACCCCCCACCATCATGCAACAACCCCAGGCAACTCCTGATTGGACCCCGATGCCCCATGTCGCATCTAACCCCGTAATATCCCACCATCAACCTCTATTCCCTCATTCCAGTCCGGAGCAGCTTTCTCAAATCAGTCAACAACGCAGAGTTAGCAGCACAACGGGTGCCGCTGCAGCGCCTATCAACTTGTCTCTTCTGGATGATGACGACCGGGGCGATGCAGGTCTTCAGCTAGATCAAAAGATCATGAATCCCTACCCTAACGAAATGTCCCAGCAACAACAGCCTGGGGCCATGGATCATGCTGCACCACCGGCCAAGATGCGCAAGATCTCCCACAACATCTCTCAGACTCCGTCCCGGAGTGCCACCTCATCCATCCCTCTGTTGGAGACTGCCAATCTACCCCAACAATTTGTTTCTTCGCTACCATTCCCTAACGAGGGCACCGACTTTCTCTATGAGTACTTCCCTTTAGGATTGGATGACTGGCAGGCACCCGTAGACGCCGTCTACCGACCACATGTGGTACATCATACCAACATGCCTGAAATGAAGTTTGTGGCATCTAGAGGCCGCAGCAAGCGCTATTTCGCCGCTGAGGATGTCTTTTAAGTCTTGATTCATTGGCGCTAGAGTGGTGTTTGTTCTTTTTCTTATCCCTCGGGATTTCAAATTGGGTCGCATTTGCATTTGCCGGAGGGGGCCATGCGATATCCAGTTCCTGCTTCCTATCATCGGTTCTAGAGTTGTTGTTTTTTTTTTTTCGCCTTCTTGTTTGTTTTTATCTGTCCATCCTTTTGTCTCTTCTCCCTGCAACCGGAGAAGTAAACTTCATGAGCTCAATCTATGCCGATATGCCGGAATACGGAGTTGGGGTATATTTCGGCGTTCGGTATTCTTGGGATCTTGTGGCGTGGTCTCTGTCTTTTTATTTTTTGGATCTTATGAGTCCCCTGGTGCAATCTTGGCAATTGTGGCGTGTGAGGAGTTCTTTGCTTTTGGATGTCTTTATAAGATTATTTCCTGGTTAATGGTGATGCTCAATGACCCTAGTCTGTTTGGAGTATCGAACCATTCTTCTCGACAAAGAAAAACAGAAACAAAAACATGTCGGGATTTGGGTTGGGTTTTGGGGTTTCGTTGGCACTTGGTTCTCGGTTTCTATCTGGTTTGGTCGTGATTCTGGTTATATCCCATCGAGTTATGATGTTACGCTGCTACTTTATTGCCACTCAGCCTGGATTTGCGCGAGTTTTGCCATGACCTACGAGAGGTTTACTGATGGCATACCAGGTTCACTTGTCTTTGTTTGAAAAATATATATACATATATCATATCATCTCTTTGATTGTTAACCCATTTACGTTCACTAGATAACAAACATTGTCTATTTCCAATGTCGTTATAGGTATATTTCCAAATATTCTATGTTCTGGGTTGGAAGGGATTACGTTGGTGGCTATTCATCATATCTTTACAAACACCTGGGGCAACTAGATGAATTTCCCAAACCACTTTCAATTCAGCTGATCACTTAATCCGCTCATAGATACCCTAGTCCATCTCCACCAATGGCTTCTAGATCGGCCCGGATTTCCCACTCCGTCGCGCCGACTCGGCCCGCGAAATCCGCCTGGCGCTGTTTGCCCAGACTCAGCCACTGCCGAAGCAAAGTTCCATCAACCATTCCTCGACCAGAGGCACCATCACTCTCAACCGCTCGGAAGGCGCGAGGGTTCAATCCACCGGGATGTTCAATTGTATTGGTCAACTGAGATTGCAAAGCAGACAGGCGACGATATGATTCTTCCGTGACGGTCGTCACCAGGGCTAAGGATCCATTTTGTGATGCAATTAGGACGTTGTGAGTCGAAATGGCCTGGTCCACGTCCATCTCATCCGCCGTTGACTCCATAAGTTCAGACGACACCGCCGTGCGGGGCAACAGGGTGACCGTTGAGGCAAAGTTACCTGTATAGAACTTGCTCCTGTTGAGTAGTCGATCTCCATTGGATGACTTTGGGTCTGACATGGAATGTAAGTATAATTTCACAGTTCGAGCCTCATTCTATTACGCACCTTCAGGGTCATACTGCAGCACGTGCAGGTTGCAATCACTGTCTGCCACCAAAATGTAGAGCTTATTTCCATCCGGCAGGAAATCTGCAGCCGCGACTTCCAGATAGTCGGGATCTTTGCCGAAAAGAGTCATTTTGTAAGGCTCTTCCTACACTAGACGTTAGTAACCGGTAAAAAGGATTTTACGTCAGTTAGGAGGGCTCCCATACCGAATAGCCTGCAAACCAAAGACCCTTGATTGCATCACCCAAGATGACCATGCCTGTACCCTTGAGTTCTTTTGCAACATTGACGTAGCATTGCATATCCATGAACGCCACGGGAAGGAGACTTCCGTCCTCTTTAAGCCCCCTGACCATGCATTTTTGCCCTTGAGCCACGATCACAAAGCCCTGGCCGCCAATGCCGGACAGCGCGGTCACTGCACCTTTGACGACCTCCTTGCCAATGAGTTTGAGTTTGCGGCCCGTCTCTGGTTTACCAGGCTCTGGAACCACCTCAATCACGTCGAATACATAGATGCAGCCACGGGCTGGAATGTCTTCGCCCTTGGTGATAGCCGTTCCTACAACGATCAGATCTTTACGCTCATGTGTGTTCTCTGACACCTCTAGATTCACGTTCTTCACCGCTGTCACATGCTCAGCGGGCTCCAAGGGGTAACTATGAATCGTGAGCATTGAAATGAACTCCAGTTCCACATCTTTGAGGCCTTACCTATCGATAACTTCCCAGGTTTTCGGACTTATGATCTTGACGAAGCTCTGGGGAACTTCAGGTAGGAATGATTTCGCTAGGAATTGTATTAGAAAAAAAGATACACCATGCTTAGCAGAATGCCGGGAAGCAAACCTTCGTCGCGCCATTCAGGGTGCAGCTCATCATTTTCAGGCAATTTGAATCCCACGCTGGAGCTGGTGCCCAGAACATAGGTCTCAGATGCTGTTGAATAAGTCAAGAAGTCCACTTGTTCTTCCAACGAGACTTTGCGCAAGACCCAGGAATGGTCAAGTTGGGTTTCTGGGGGGATTTGACACGCTCGGATGGTATGCTGGACGGAATTGTAAGCATGAGTATACGTTACGCTAGGAAGCAGCTCGTACCTCGGCATCCACATAGACGAAGCCGTTACCACAGCCAGTCACCGGCGAATCAAACCCACTGAGCCATCGTGTGAATTCACCACGAAGGCGAACCACGTGGGGGGAGCTTTTCGCGGTTTTTACGACAAATCTACCTGAGTCACCAGGCATAAACACAGTACTAAGCCCTGAGACATTCCGCAGGGCCCGTAATGGTCTTCTGCGTGAGGATATTTCGGTTTCGGTCTGTGATTCAATTGGGACAAGCTTAGAAAGGGTATGGTGGCCTTCACGAAAAAATTGAAGACGTTTTGGTTGTTCGCTCTCGGCCTCGGACGGGATGAAGACTGGCTTGTACACAATCAAGTCGTCGTTATCGGTTCGAAGCTGGATTTCGTGGGTTAGCATCTGGGTTCAAGCAACCAATGTTTGCGTGCATCGTACAATTAGGTATGGTTGGACAAATGAGGAATCACCGAGATCAGCTACTAGGACTTCTTTCAGCGGCTCTCGCGCACTTGATCTTCGAGGTGGATCTGTTGATAGCACAGGTTGCAAGCAGTCAAGGCCGTCAATGACTGACAGTAGTTTCATGTCCGAGACGTTGAATATCTGTAAAAGAACGGTTAGAAATACCATGGTCATCTAATCCCTTATTGGAATCACCGACCGAGAGCTTATGTTCGGCGTTTAACAAGAATAGAAGAATACTTTGTTCAGCTGCAACGCTTGATTTTGAGTGGAGAGCGCCGAATGATTGGTGTCTGTCATGATAAAGGCAGCCCGTATGCCACTTTAACATGGTCATTTCATCTGGGAGAGACACCTCTTCAAGATCACCGCTGGCATCTGTCTGAAGCAGTAAAAGCGAAGAATCGTCACGTAATATAGCCACGTAAGGATCGGCAAAGCTTGCGCTCACGGCAGTACGCTCTTCATCGGTGTCCTCGTCCCAAATGGGATAAATTTGCGCTAGCCCCAAATCTGAAAAACATGTTAGTCTATAATTCCTATCTGCGGAACGTACTCAAAACATACCTCGGTCATAAATCCTGACTTCATTTCGCAAAACCTGTACAAGACGAGATTCCTCGGCTAAAAGCCCAATTTCGATAGTAATATCCTCACTCGGATTGAAGTCTGGTGCCTTGAGAGGTTTCCAGGCTGCTTCCTCTACCTTGAAAACCTCTGATACCTCTTTGTCTGTATCAGTAATCCGTGAGACGATCATATATTGACAGGAAATTGCTCCATTTGAATCGCCCACGTGCGAAGAGCTTTCTTTGCTTTGAGACATGGTGGCCGACCATACTCCATCGGCAGCATCAAGACTCATGGACATTGTCGTCAAAGGATCAATCTCCCTTTTGATTACAACAAGCCCACCACTCTTGCCAGAGCCTTGTGATGCAACCAGCTCTAGTGTGGCCGAAGCCTCTTCAATGGCGGACACATCCGAGTCATTTGGCACTGAGCTAGCTTGGCCCAGAGTGACATCCCGCAGAGGGCCGATGCTAGGGAGTCGATCATGTAGTTGGAAATGATAAAAACCTGGCGTTGAAGTCTCCGAAGCTGGGCGCGTGTCGGTTTGGGTTCGCTCAGGCACCGAAGAGTAGAGGTCATCTTCGTACCCATCATCTTCCATTTGATCCTCGTCTGACGATTCATCTAGGCTATCGGTAGTTGGCTTCGATTCTAGACGTGGTTTTTTGCTAGAAGTCGTATGGGACCATCCAAGAAGCACTGAGTCCGCATCTTCGCTACCAATGAAGACATTTCCATCATTGAAGCAGGTAGAGCAAGAGGCAGCCGATTTTAAAATACCCCCGCCTGCTTGAGCTGGTAACGCATGGATTGACATACCCGATACAGATCGACCATCCAGTTTGAATTTTATCAGGGCCAAATCACCCGAGGCAAGCGCAAGAAGAAGGTCACCACTGCCGCCACCGAGTCGTTCCACAACGCAACCCTCCAGGCGAAAGGCCAAGTCGGATTGGTCACTCATGGAAAATGCGGACACTTGACGAGAGAATTCGTTGACCCCAACTGCGTTTGTTTTACCGGCTTGATCCACATGCACAATTTCATTGGAACCGATAAGCAGAGCGCCTCCCACAGGAGGCGGCAGTGCTACAACCTTGAATAGGTCACTGGGAAGCCGAGAGACTGAGAGGAGAGTTGTCGATGCTCGTTGCTCTAAGTCTAACGTAAAAACAGTGTAGAACATCACATCTTTTCTCTCGTGAACAAGGGCATTGGAGGTTGCAATTTGAGAATATAAAATTCCAAATGTTGGCTCTCTGTATTCGTAGAGAAATGCCAAGCTAACAGGGTGCAACAATGACGGGTCCAGGGCTGTCAGTGGTAGAACGAACGATGCAGCGTAAGGTGTGGGATGAGCAGAGCCACCCTGGCTCTTCTCCATGTCTGTTGCCCCATCCGGTGCTTGAGTAGGCCGCTCGCCGTCCAGTTCAGAGTCGTAGTCGTCCATCACAAGGTCATCCCCTGCCTGGTGGAAAGGTAAAATGGCCAAGTTACGAACCCCGAAATTGAAGACCGCACACCGGCTGCTGGGGTCCACACTAAGACTACTGCCACATCGACTCAGGTCTGGTACCCAGGGGCTGCGGGTCAGGTCATCTCGTTCATAATAATGGATAGAGACGGTTGAAAGATTGTAGCGCTTTGGGTCCCACTCAATCAGACTGAGCTTGGCATTTCGAACAGCCAGCAGGATGGCCTCTCCGCCACTCTTGGAATTCAAGATCTTCACTCGACTCAGGTCTGTCACAGTTCCTGGAAGGTTGTACTCCTTTTCCAGGACCAGTTTCGGCTCAGATGGATAGAAAGATGCCGAGTGGGTCTCAGTGCTCTCCGATGAAGGCTTGAGCAGGGAAAACACCTGCAACAGGGACGATCGCACAACAATCAAATTGCTAGCAGTTGATGATAGGAAAGGCAGGGCAAGTGCATGGGTAACGCCCGTTGGGGGTAAAAGCTCTGTATAGCACTGCATTGCAGAAATCCAGTGCGCTTCAGAGCTCCAATCAGCAATTTACAGGAGCAAAATTCACGGTGCACATGGCAAACTCAAGCCTAAATTCAACAGCGCCAGAGCACACAAACAACAAACAGGATATGACAGAAAAGAAAAAGCCCTTTTGAGTCTCACAATGGCTTGTAGGATGTAGTCGAATGATGTGCATCCAGGGCGGACTAAAAGACACAAAGCTCAAGATCACGTGATGTTTACCTGATCAGGTTTAGCTATGACGACAATGTAAAGCCAACTTTCTTACCCACTCACTTGCTTTCCCTTTCTCTTTCTCTTGTGTCTGAACATCTCTGAATTTCTACAGTGTAAAGATAATTAAGGAAAGATACAACAGCTTCTCTCTGCCTAACCTGTCACATATGGGACATCATCTGTCTCGACTATGGCGCTCCTTCAGACCTCACTGATATGGGTTGTATATGCAGTTGTCATTGCAATCCTATTGGCGGTAGCTTCGGTGTTCATCTATGTTTACCAAACACCTCGCGATCGTTCTCCGTCTGTAACCCTGACCTGCATCATTGCCATTACCAGTCTTCTGGCCACTGTGCTCTTGCTGCCGGTGGATGTCGCGCTCATATCATCAACCACGTCATCCCGCCTAGGCCGGCGGAAAGACTGGGCTACCCAAGATACAGTTGATAACATCACTTTCTCACTGACAATCATCTACTACATATTGTACTCACTGGATGCCTTGCTCTGCCTCTTGGTGATCCCTTTCACCTACTTCTGGTACGAAGAATATGATGAGGTAGCCAGTGAAACAGGGGAGCAAACTGTGGGACAGCGGCTCTGGGGGTCCTTGAAGTACACCTTGTCATTTGTTGCTATTGTTGTTATCCTATTCCTGGTTGGATTTTTTGTCCCCGTTTCCAAGGACAAGGTCGGTATGGACTTGGATTACTTCAAACGCCTGCTGACAGAGAATCGTAAGTTGTGCTGCCTTTTGAGTCCTCAATACGATGACACTAATATTGACACAGATGGTGAGCGTGCTTTGACATTTGCTTTGGGCCTGCTGATGACCCTTGGTATCTGCCTTTATGTCTTGTATACTTCAGTGGGGCTTGCTCTGTTTCCCATTAGCTTGATCAAGACTGCACCATCGATTTCGAGCCCCACTCTGCGGGCTTCCACAGTTCGCCAATTAGAAGTCAATCAAGAGCGACAGAGGCAGCTCGAAGGTCGCTGTGGGGGAAATCCCGAGCTTCTTTCATCCAAAGATCGCAGAGAACTAGATACGCTCACACGAGAGGAGAGAACATTGATTAGGCGGCAACGCCTTGTTGACGAAGCTCAGGGAGAAGGTCGGAGTTGGCTGATGCGAGCATGGTTCAAGATTGAGGCCATATTCCGCCCTTTCAAATTGCTGGGAGGCCTGCTTCTCCTGTTGATTGCCTTTGTTACATGGGTGTCTATGTTGTTGACAGCTATCGACAAGGCAAAGAACTCGGTTTGTAAGCATCGCTGTGGATACATTCTTGGTCATATCAATGTCTTCAACCCAGTCAATTGGGCACTTGTTCAATCGGCCAAAGTCTTTCCGGTTGATTATGCCATTTTTTCTGTTCTTGTGCTGCTGCTGTTCTGTAGCTCCGTTGCTGGCATCTCTGTGGTTGGGATCCGCTTCCTTTGGATTCGAATTTTTCAGATTCGAAAGGGTCACACGTCACCTCAAGCTCTCCTCTTGGCAACTGCGATGTTGATGCTGATTATCCTGGCGCTGAATTACTCTATTTCCATGGTCCTCGCTCCACAATATGCCACGTTTGGCCCGCAGACTTTCTGTGACCGTGCTCCGAGAACACTGCTAGAGCAGCCGGATTGCTCTAATCACAAAGCTCTCATCAAGCCATGTTCTGAACTAGCGGAAAATCCCGCCGCACAACGAGTGTGCACTCCCAGTGTTGTCAGCACCTTTCTCAATCGTGTCACTCTCAATTTCCCTTTCTTTGGTGTTGTATTCTTTTGGGCCCAGTTCTTCTTCCTCGGTAAGTATGCGCCTGGGTGCAAGCAAGGTCCAGGAATATCTATATTATTGATGCTTGATTACTAACCGATCATCTGTCCACAGGTCTCTACCTTGTTGTCTTTGTGACATCTCTCTTCCGATCACCAAAACTGGATGAGAGGCAACTTGATGAAGATGCCGAGGAAGCCGAAGAAGAGGGTCTCCTCGCTAACACAGGAAGACGATTTAATGCAACCTGGCAAGACATCACTGGCCGGGCCGACCGCAACAGCTCTGGGAATTAAGAAGACTTAGTTCACTAGGAGGAAAGCAGTGGACTAGCTCGAAATTACTAACTGCTTCTGCGAAGTAACTTCGTACTGGAATTAATGTTGTATCTGACGGATTCACACGGACCTGATCTTGAATTCAATCTAGGCAATACATGATAATTCTCGGCACATAATCTTCCCCCATTCTGACCGCAGGGTGAGACATGGCCCAGCATGTACCTTGTTAGAATCTAAATAACGCATGTAGTGGGGAATCGCTGTTTCATGATTTCGTAACCTAGTCAAGCTTTCAGCTGCTCGTTGAGCAAGGCCAGGGCACTTTGGAATGCTTTCACCACCTCCGTGTCTGGAATGGGGGTCCGAGTGATCAGCACTTGAGCAGGGAAGAAGATGGGTCTCATGAACTTACAGTGCTTTTTCTTATTGTCCACGCTGATTTCAGAATGCTGAACGTGCTGCATCTGTGTCTTGAATCTTGATGATCTTTAGAACTCGATGTTACGAAGACCATGGGGTACAATTCTCACCTCTTCAGGGCCCTCTGTTCATCTTGTAACATGGCTGTCTGGGACCATGCTGTAAAAATCTGCTAGGTTTTAGTGTTGGGTTAGAACGGCAGATGCATAATGTCCTTACATCGAGCAGTTTTGTTGTTTGCGCACGAAGGTCTTCTTCGACACGACTATGCTCATCCATAGCATCAGTGTATTTTTCTTGTAACTGATCCCAATCACAATGATCCACGCCTTGAGTTAAACGAGCCACTAGCATTTCTTCCATTTCCAGGACGGGCTCAAATGGACCCGGGCTGTCAGTTTGCTGGGGCTCTTCCGTTGCAGGTGGCCGCGAGGCAATGTCACGGCCATCGTCTGTCGACGTCATTTTGGACAAGCTCGTCCTGACAGAGTAGCTTAGCGAAAGTGAAAAACCTTGGCGATATTTAAATCATTTCGTAGTATCAAGGAGGTGATTGGGTCTTTATCAACAATCCAACGTGATAAGCCCGAATAAACAGCTGCCACACACCGCGTCAGGTGACGACGTCACCAGAACCGACTCTCCCCCAAGATCTTATTGCAAGACTCCATGGTTCTCGTTGGTAGCTCTCGTAGCTTACACAATACACCATGGATGCGCGACTCTCGGTCTTTCAGCTAAAATCCTTCAACCGTCTGCGATGAGTTGTCACATATGTACATCTGCCCACTCCCGCTTGCCAATTCTCTGTCCGACATGTGCCCGCAATCGTCTTTATCAGCTACGTCTCGAACACACCCAGGTCCTTCTTGAAAAACAGTCCCTTGGCAACCAAATCGAGATCGCGACCGCCCATAGCCAGTTAGGATCCTCAGAAACCGATCACGACAGCTCCTGTCGCTGGGCCCTCCAAACCATTTTAAGTCAACAAGCTGGCTCGATCTCCAGGGAGGATGTTGTGGCGCAGCAGATAAACACTTTGAAAGAGGAAATTAGGGCAAAAAGGGCCGATATCCTGGACCGCAAGGCGCGGTTGGCTCGCAGGCGTTCCGATGCTGAATCGGCCCAATACCAACTTGGGGAGCGGGAGGCTGCTATCTTGACAGGCCTGCAGAACACCACCAAAAGGACCGAGCATCTATGGCACACATTACATAGTAAAACGGCAGAAGCTCGGATATTTCTTTGCCGCGAAGCGGCTCATCTGTATGGGTTACGGCAAAAAGCAACCAAGAAAGGCGACGCTAGCCAGACCTATGTCCTTGGAGGCCTAGCAATTGTAGACTTGCGGGACATGAACGGAAAGTTCCCATTTCTGGCCGCTATCACTCAAATTCATACTAACATTTATACAGGCTCCACGACAGCTCAGATATCTACGTCGCTCTCCAACATTGCCCTCCTCCTGGTCCTCGTTTCGCATTATCTTTCACTGAGACTCCCCGCCGAGATCATTCTACCCCATCGGAATCATCCTAACCCAACCATCTATACCCCTGCTGCATCCTACGACTCGCATAATGCCACTGATGGAACTTATAATCCTCAACCCCCATCCAGCCTGGCAGTGCCCCGACCTGCAGACACTCGCTCGCGTCCAAGGCCACTATTCATTGATAAGCCTCTCCAACGTCTCGCCAAGGAAGACCCTTCCACGTATTTCCTCTTTCTTGAGGGTGCCACTCTCCTTGCTTGGGATGTCGCATGGCTGTGCCGGACCCAAGGAATCAACCTAACTTCTGACTCATGTGAAGAGGTCTGCAACATTGGAAGTGGATTGTGGCAGTTATTGGTTGCCCCGCCAGCTCAGACGTCCACTTTGATGCGGGCCTTCGCCGGTCGAGATACGCAGGCTAAGGTGAAGCCTGCTAAGGATTCTCCCCAAACCACAATCCAGCGCATGAAATCATTTCCTATGCTTGGGCATTATTCCCATGGAACAGTTCATTCGTTTCTCGGGGCATCGGAGGGATCGGAATTCATGCGGACATGGAAATTACCCACTCCAACAAAGATTTTTGATAACTTAAAGTCGAACCTCCTTGGCGAGATGGCCAGCGCAGAATGGGAGGTATTGGAACAACAGGAATGGGAGGACGAAAATTTCGAGACTCAACAACCATACACGCCAGAGAGCAAAACCACCCCCAGGCCTGCAGAAACAAACGCGACCCCAAATCAGTCATCAAGACCAAAGGGCACAAGTGGTTGGACGAAGCTCAACAGCAGATAATATAGCAGAAATAAAAACAGAGTATGTTGTCAATCTACAGAGTACAGCAGGTTCCTTAAGGCATAAATGTACACATTATCGCGTTTCATGTGCAGTAGTCATAAAAGCAAAACATACCAAGGTGTAGTGGGTTTGTACATCTCATGACCTCCATACAGTAAACGGATTGCGGAGTTACTGAGATGCCGAGATAAGATTGTACCGCGTGGCCCGAGTCCCTCCGTTCACTTGCTATGCTTTCCGTCGGGATCTTCTGCTGCATTTCTGGAAAACTCCTGAATTGAAGTCCAATTGCATGAAGCCGTCCTATTGATATCGTCGGACTTTCGTGGACGCCACATCGGAACTGTATCTCCTATTTATTACTGGCAATGTGGCCGGAACCCACCCGCATTTAAAAGTCCCCAAACATGCAGAATGCTCAAGCATGGCAGAATCCCGGCGAAGGGACTCTGGGTCAGTATTCCAGCACTGAATCCCCCCAATTAGATCTGACTTTTCATGTATCTGGCAGAGCTCAAGCGCGCGCTCTCCGCCATCTCAGAAATCCCCGAATCTCTCCTAAGAGCCGAGCTCCGACGACGTGATGCCACAGGTTCAGTGGAGACACCTTCATGTGGCTCTCAGGCGCAGGGCGCCTATAATACACCATTGCATGTCATGGCACTATTTCTCATCTTAGGGTTGAGTACATTCGGTATGCGCAAGTCATTCTCTCTGATCTGTGGTACTGGGTGATTGACAAACTCATCTTACACCAGCATGCTCATTTCCGGTCCTTGCTCGCCGCTTTCCTGGTCTTCCGATCCCACGTCGCTTCCTGTTTATCTCCAGACATTTTGGCACCGGAGTCTTAATCGCGACAGCGTTCGTGCACTTGCTCCCGACTGCATTCGTTTCCTTGACGGACCCTTGTCTCCCTCGGTTCTGGAGCCATACATACCGTGCAATGGCGGGCTTTGTGGCCATGATATCGGTCTTCGCTGTTGTGGTGGTAGAAATGTTCTTTGCCATGAAAGGTGCAGGGCATGTGCATGGCAATGATTACGATACTTTGATAGGCGACATTGGCCGCGAGTCTATGAGCGACTTTGGGCATGACGCCGCAGATTATTCGCGTTTGGAAGCGCAAAGATCACATGGAAATATACGTTTAGACGGCCTACGACAAAGTGGTCAGGTCGAGGTTGACGGTCTTGCTTCTGCTTCTTCGCATGGGTCTGAGCGGCTGCACTCGGCTGGCTCCCAACTGGACAAACATGAAGACGATGATACTGACCTTGATGAGCTCGATGCCTACGCTGATGACTCTCCGCCTCGTGTGCGGTCCCGGTCACATTCGCTTCATCATCACCGCCCTCAGATGGGTGGTCATTTTCGACAGCAGTCCGGCTCGGAGTTGCCAATGCAGAACCCGCAACGTCAGCTTCTTCAGTGTCTACTGCTGGAAGCTGGTATCCTTTTTCACAGTATCTTCATTGGCATGGCACTCAGTGTCGCAACCGGAACCTCGTTTGTTGTACTTCTCATTGCTATCAGTTTCCATCAGACATTCGAAGGGTTTGCGCTGGGCTCACGTATCGCATCACTCATCCCTGATCTTTTCTCACCCTCTTCCGCAAAACCCTGGCTGATGTCACTGGCTTACGGAACAACTACTCCCCTTGGTCAGGCCATCGGCCTGGTCTTGCATAATCTCTATGACCCGGCAAGTACCACGGGCTTGCTCATGGTTGGCATTACCAACGCCATCAGCTCTGGCCTTCTGCTCTTTGCAGGTCTTGTGGAGCTCCTGGCGGAAGACTTCTTGAGCGAGCCAAGCTATGAGACCCTCAAAGGGAGACGGCGTGTAGAGGCATGTATATCAGTTGCCTGTGGAGCTCTCTTGATGGCCTTTGTTGGGGCTTTTGCCTGAGTGGCTCGACACATGTCAGGTGTGTACTGTTTCTGAGTTATCTGTGGCCTTCCCTAGAAAGCTAGAATTATCAAATGTTATTCTTCCTATGCTTCACCAGGTGTTCAGTGAATCCCTCCTAGAACTACAATTTTTCATTTCACCCTCCCCCATTATATTATATGCTACAAGGATCTTGTCAAGTTCGTGAACTGTTCGGAGAAATATTAAATTCTCTACTTCCAATATCTATTTCGAATATTTGCGTTGGTTGGTATTTCGCAGGGAGTCGATAGTCATGTCATATCCGTACATCATTAAAATTATCTCTTTAGAGAAGAGACTCAATCACGAGGGCACTGGCACCGCCGCCGCCGTTGCAAATGCCAACGCAGCCAAGCTTGCCCTGCTTCGCCTTCAAGACACCGATCAGAGTGGCCAGGATACGAGCACCGCTGGCACCCAGTGGGTGGCCAATGGCAACTGCACCGCCGTGGATGTTGACCTTGTCCTCAGAGAGGCCAAGCAGCTTCATGTTGGCAAGGGCTACCACGCTGAAAGCTTCGTTGATTTCAAAGGCATCAATGGAGTCCTGAGTCACGCCAGCGTGCTTGAGGGCCTTGGGGATCGCCAATGCGGGCGCAGTGGTGAACTTGCTCGGCTGCTGCTCAGCATCACCCCAGCCACAGATCTTGGCAATGGGCTTCAGGCCGAGCTCCTTCACCTTGGCCTCGGAAGCCAGGACGACGGCCGCAGCGCCATCGTTGAGGGGAGAAGAGTTAGGGGCAGTCACTGTGCCACTGCCGGGGATGAAAGCAGGCTTCATGTTGCGAAGCTTGTCGGGGTTGAGCTATCCTCACAGTACATATTAGCGAGAGATTAAGGCGAAACGTCTACCAGATTCCACTTACGTTCTTGGGCTCGTCATCCTGAGACACGGTAACACCGGGCTTGCCACGGAAACCAGGGAGCTCAATGGGAGCAATTTCATAGTCGAAGGCACCCGCAGCCTGGGCAGCCTGGGCCTTTTCGTAGGTGCGGATGGCATAGTCATCCTGCTGTTGGCGGGTGAACTCGTGGTCCTGTGCACACTCCTCGGCCTGGAGACCCATGAGCTCCTGTTTGCCATAGGCATCTTGCAGTCCATCCTTCATGATTCCATCAACCAGGGTCTGGTGGCCGAACTTGGCACCAGTACGGGAGTTGGGGATGTAGTGGGGGGTGTTCGACATGGACTCCGCACCGCCAGCCACAACAATATCAGCGTTGCCGGTCATGATGGTCTGGGCTCCCAGGATAATTGCCTTCAGAGCAGAAGCGCAGACCTTGTTGACGGTGGTGCAGACAGTGGATTCGGGGAGACCAGCGCCAATGGCACATTGGCGAGCAGGGTTCTGTCCAACGCTGAACAGGGGTTAGTATTAGCAATAACCATTGAGGGTACGAGGAAGCTTACCCAGCGGAAAGGACGTTGCCGAAGAAGACCTCCTCAACATCCGAGGCATTGACACCCTCAGCACGCTCCACGGCGGCTATATATTGAGTTAGTATATGTGAAAATCTGTTTTGCCTCTCTCTCATTTGAAGTAGATAGCATATGGCGTTCGCAATTGGGAGGGGTCATCATACCCTTGATGGCATGAGCACCAAGCTGAGGAGCAGTCAGACTGGAAAGAGAACTGTAGACCAAATGACATTAGAAATCGCAACACAAGTAGAACTGAATATAACATACCCAAGGAAGGAGCCTACCGGGGTACGGGCGGTGGAAACAATGTAAACAGGAGGAAGGGAAGACATGGTGAAGTTTTGGAATATGAAAATCTTTAGAGGAGAAGAAAAGGGGAAAGGAAAAGGAGAGTATAAAAGGAAAAGAAATATGGAGGGGCGGTTATGATTATAGTGGGGAGTGAGGAGCTGTACGGTGTAGGCGCGAGTACTTGAGACGCTCGGACCAAGTGGAAAGTTGAGATTCAACTCCTCCGGCGTCACGCCAGCACTAAGTCCGGCGCGGATCTAGCTTTGCGCGTCACCCATCTTTTCTTTCTCCACCACAATGGATGACCTCTACGACGAGTAAGTTCTCCTCTTTGCTCCCCTAAAACATTGATTAACTCTTGCAGGTTCGGTAACTACATCGGAGAGGCCGAGTCGGATGAGGAGCAACATGACCAGGTGCCGCAAGCCTTCAAGTTCGACGAGGCTTTTGACGACGAAGAGGAAGATGAGGTCATCAATGACCAGCAATTAATGGAGGTCGATGGTATGTTTGCACGCTCCCAAGAAAACCATGATGAAAGGAGAAAGGAAGAGAGGGGAAAAAAAAATCTCACCCTTTCTGATCATAAATGCTCACCAATCCTTACTGCAGAAGGACCCTCGAACGCCGTGATCCTGCACGAAGACAAACAATATTACCCAAGCGCTCAGCAAGTATACGGTGCCGATGTTGAGACTCTGGTTCAGGAAGAAGATGCGCAACCTCTGTCCGAGCCGATTATCGCCCCCGTCCAGCAGAAGAAATTTGCGCTCGCAGAAACCGAGCTTCCAACGGTGTATTTTTCCCGGGAGTTTATGTCCGATCTTCTCAACTTTCCCGAGCAAATCAGAAATGTCGCTATTGTGGGCCATCTGCACCATGGCAAGACAGCGTTCATGGACATGCTGGTGAAACAGACCCACGATTTGACGGAGCGGCTACAGAAGCGGATAGGCAAGCGCAAGGAGGAACAACTCCGATACACTGATGTGCACTTCCTGGAGCGAGAACGCGGCGTGTCAATCAAGGCGGCGCCAATGAGCTTGGTTCTTCCTGGAACCAAGGGCAAGTCCCATCTCCTCAATATTATTGACACCCCCGGACACGTGAACTTTGTGGATGAGGTGGCTGCATCGATTCGCCTTGCTGATGGTGTCGCCCTTGTCGTCGATATTGTGGAGGGCGTTCAAGCGAACACTGAGCAGATCATCAAGCATGCTGTCTTGGAGGATCTTCCACTAACCCTGGTTGTCAATAAAATGGACCGCCTCATTCTGGAGCTTAAATTGCCACCGAATGATGCCTATTTCAAGCTGAAACATGTGATTGAGGAGGTCAATACGATCATCGAGAACGTTCTGCCAGGCCAAGGTGAGCAGCGCCGAGTAAGCCCGGAAAAGGGCAACGTTGCCTTTGCATCCAGTTCAATGAACTGGTGCTTCACTCTACAATCATTCGCCCGGATGTATGCAGATACTTACCCACGGCTCGATTCGACCGAATTTGCTGCTCGACTTTGGGGCGATATCTTCTATAACCCCCGCAGTCGGAAATTCACTCGCAAAGGCGTGGAAGAGAATTCGAAGCGTTCATTCGTCAAATTTGTCTTGGAGCCGATCTACAAGCTTTATTCCCATACACTCAGCGAGAGTCCCGAGGACCTCAAAGAAACACTTGCTAGCGTGGGTGTCAGCCTAAAACCCTCCCAATTGAAGACCGATGCGAAGGAGCTGCTGAACCTCGTTTGTGAGCAATTCTTCGGTCCTCCTACTGGGTTTGTGGACATGGTTGTCCAACATGTCCCTTCTCCGGTTGATGGAGCCCAGAGAGTATTGGATCGGTATTACACTGGTCCATTGGACTCAAAGGTTGCGTCATCTATGGCTGCCTGTGACCAGGACGGACCCCTAGTCATTCACATCACCAAGCTGTTCAGCACCACCGATGCTACGGGATTCTCCTCCTTTGGAAGAATCCTGAGTGGTACCGCTCGACCCGGCCAGCAGGTTCGCGTTCTTGGTGAAGGCTACACACCCGAGGACGAGGAAGACATGGTTATTGCAACCATATCAGACACTTGGATCGCGGAAACGGCTTACAACATCTCTACAGATGGTGTCCCTGCTGGCAACTGGGTTCTACTTGGCGGTGTAGACAATTCGATTGTGAAAACGGCAACACTGGTGCCTCTCAAACTGGACGATGATGAAGAACCCCATATTTTCCGGCCCATTCGTCACATGACCGAGTCTGTGTTCAAGGTTGCGGTGGAGCCGGTCAACCCGTCTGAACTACCTAAGATGCTGGACGGCTTACGCAAGATCAACAAGAGCTATCCCTTGATCTCGACTAAGGTAGAGGAGTCTGGTGAACACGTTGTTCTAGGTACAGGCGAGTTATACATGGACTGTGTTCTTCATGATCTTCGACGACTGTACTCCGAGATGGAAATCAAGGTCTCCGACCCTGTCACTCGTTTCTGTGAGACGGTGGTTGAAACCTCTGCCATGATGTGTTACTCAATTACCCCGAATAAAAAGAACAAGATCACAATGATCGCCGAGCCATTGGACGAAGGCATCGCAGAGGACATTGAAAGCGGCAAGGTCAACATCAAAGACCCCATCCGCAAGGTTGCTCGCTACTTCGAGGACCATTACGACTGGGATAAGCTCGCTGCTCGCAGCATTTGGGCATTTGGCCCTGACGAGATGGGACCGAATATTCTTCAGGACGACACATTGCCTTCACAGGTAGATAAGAAGCTTCTGGGGAGCGTCCGAGACTCAATCACTCAGGGTTTCAGCTGGGGTGCAAGAGAGGGTCCCTTGTGTGAAGAACGTAAGTTGTATCTCGCACCCTTCTTACTAAGGATACCGATACTGACAAGACTTAGCCATTCGAAACACTAAGTTCAAGCTAACGGATGTATCCCTTGCGGATCAAGCTATCTATCGTGGTGGTGGTCAAATCATCCCCACAGCTCGCCGGGCCGTGTACTCGTCATTTTTAATGGCTTCTCCCCGGCTCATGGAGCCGATCTATTCCTGTACCATGACGGGTCCCGCTGATGCTGTCGCTTCAGTGTACACTGTCTTGTCGCGCCGACGAGGTCACGTCCTGTCTGACGGCCCCATTGCCGGAACTCCTCTCTATTCGGTGCGCGGGCTCATTCCGGTGATTGACTCGTTCGGATTTGAGACAGATCTTCGCATCCATACCCAAGGTCAGGCCATGGTCAGTCTTGCCTTTGATAAGTGGAGTGTGGTACCTGGAGATCCGCTGGACCGTGATGTCAAATTGAAGCCACTGGAGATGGCCGGGGCCATGGCCACAGCTCGAGACTTTGTCCTGAAGACGAGACGGCGCAAGGGACTGGCGGAGGATGTGACGGTCAGCAAGTTCCTGGAGCCGGAACTGTGGAAAGGATTGAAGGAGAGTGGCGTTTTGGACTCATGATTCTCACCATAAAAACACGCTAACAGCCAATCTTCCGGGAGGGGATTCTGGGGTTATGGAGTCATCGATTATTGAGCACGTTGCTCTCTCTGTAATTCTAATGCGCTCATCAATAACATGCAAGTGTATTATCAAAAACAATTGGCATTTTATTTTCGTAAGATGGGGCTCGTATCAACCAGGACAGGAGAATCTAGGTCACCAAAATCGCCGGACTAAGTGCTTATAATAATATTACAGTAATGAAAGGGAAGTTAGCTGGGGAAAGCTTCTTATTGACAAGTCTCCATCATCTTGGTGATGACCTGCATCAGGGCGCCATTCTCCAAGGCTGCAGCAACTCTTTCCTTATCCCCCAGCTGCTTATTGACCTCATCGCCTGTGCTATGGGTCCCTTCCTTGATGCGCACATCAACCCGGAAGCGGGGCGGAAGGCTCTGTTCTAAGCGCACCCGGACTCCGAGACCAATGACCGTTGCTAGACTGCAGTGGGTGATAGTTGGGGTAATCAAGACAATGACAGTCTGAAGAGGGGAATCTGAAACGTTGGGAAGGGTTGGCTTGATAAAGATATCTGGGAGAGAGACGACGGCCAGTTCTCCCAGGGACAGTGGATGCTCTGGATCCGAAATTGACTTGATCAAGTCTGAAAAATGGATTCATTAGATCATTTCCAAAAAATGAGGTGGCAATAGTGGTCTTACCATAGATCTCCTGCTCATCGATTGGCTCCTCCAAGAGGTCGTCATCTTCGGAGTCGGACGAGAGAAAGTCGGCGGGATTCGGGACAGCAGCAAAGATGCCAGAGTGATAATCGCCTGCTTTGATAGTGGAGCGAGTCCTGGTGGGGAGATCCGCCACGTTCAGGATCGTGGGGTTGGAATTCTGTACCTCCGCCATGATTGAGAGGGGCGAAAGCTTAGGAAGATTTCGATAAAGAAGCTTATCGAAGTCTCACGTGTCTGCCGGTAGATCCTCGGTCCATTTCCTATCTGGGGAAAGCGTGGGATGACGATTTTCCAAGAAGGTAAGCTACGGGTAATCTATGGGTAATCTATGGGAAAGCTACCGGTCATCCATGGGTAATAGGTAATATATTAGTCTTTTTAGTCTTCGGGAGCGTCCTCGGGATTTGTGGACTATTTATTCTCATGATTATGGTCTGATTAAGATTAGAGAATAAATGGTAATTTAAGCCTTGCCAGAATCCCGGACCACCGTTCATAGGCTTAACTCATGGGAACCAGGGAAGTGGGTGGGATCGACCGAAACGAATTTGAATTAATAAGCCCTTTGGGCTGTTATCGAGTCAAAATCAGCTTGGAAGGAAGTTGGCTGGACTCTTTGCAGAGATAGATGACTCCACCTAGGAACCTCTGTAACCATGGCGGTTCCAGCTTAGGTCCTCTTCCAGAACCCTACCGGATGGATCCACTTTTTAGTTTTGGCTATTTCGCCCCTTTAGCGCCCTATGGCAGAGGGGGATCAGAGCCACACACACAAACATGAGCACACATATATTCTCTTGGAGAGAGGGGGGTAAGAAAGGTAAAACACGGCGGTTTCATCTTGGGAAAATGGGGACACAAGAAAACAAGAATTTATAGAAGCTACGGATACCTCGGAACTTAGCCGTGAAGAACCTGAGAGTCATTTCTTTTTTTTTTCTCCGATCCTGCATGGTATTTTATTTTATTTTTCTTCCGGTGAAGTGAGAATGTGATGTAGAATGGAAGTTGGAGATTACTGTACAGATGCTAGAGTGGAGCCTTGCTCATGTTCCGTTGTTTTTCCGAAGTTTTTTCTTTTCTTCTTCCTTTTCTTATTTCTGATTCTATTTCTGTTCTCATGTCTTTGCTCAAATTGTTTCAATCAAAGTCTCTTATTCTTTAATGCTAGTTCACAAGTAATATTACAGCCATTATCAAATACAGGTTACACTGAAGTACAGGAATACTATATATGTAACGCTACGGAGAACCACGTGTTGGTTAGTCATCAATACCGGTATCAATTACGTCGTAACTTCAGGAGGCAATAATCTGGATCGTCCGCCTCCACCCACCGAATCCACTGCGCCGGCGCTATTGGATGTTCATCACCACCTTGGCACCCCTCTCAGCTTTCCTCTCCGCCCTTTTCCAATCTGTTCACCCCCCTCCTCCAATGCGCCCCTGATGTCTCCACCTTGATGCTTCGTGATGCCCTGAGCGACTGCTGTAAGCTTGGTTTCCCCCTGACCCCCGGGCTCTTCATGATGCGATCGCATGATTCGGCATCTAACCTGAACAATTGATTTAAGCATTCGCATCCTTGTACCGACTGGACCAATTTTTGGACTTTTGCGACGCCTACAGTCTCTAGGAAATTTCGCAATTTCGCTCCGGGTGGGCCGTCTTGGTTGTGTGGAAGCTGTCGCACGTCTTCGGAGGTTGTGCGTTGATCGACGTGCCGGCGCAACGGCGTTGCGCTTGAACGCTACCAATTGCATCGTCCAATACCATCCTTGAACCTATACCGGAGTCAACTACAAAGCACGGTCATCCTGGGAGTGCTCCTTCGTTTTGTAATCCGCTTTTCCTTTTTTTTCTTAACCTCCAAATTCCGCGGCCGGTCCTTGCGGATAATTACACGTCCAATTTCGTTCTACCACATACCATCTCCTTTCCGGGTTACCTCGGAGGGAGAAAACAACCAAGAGGTGGAGCACGAAACGAGAGAGTGCGAGAGGACGAATTTCAAAACAAAGATCCAAAATTCAAGATGCAGGGCTACTCATTTGCACCTCCGACGGGACCTCCCCGAGAGGGCCAGAAAAGTATATTCTTTCCGAACCCCGGCATCAAATAGGGCCAATACTGAATGGATGTTGATCTGATCCTGATTTAGATTACGTGTTTGTTGATGAGCATAATCGTCACAAGAGACTAAAAGGTAAAGCGTATCGTTGTCTAGTGGGCCTTTCCTGGAGTTAACTGGAAGCAGTAATGCGAGCGTGCAATGGCTGCCGAAAAAGGAAGATCAAATGCGACGCTGCAACAACAAATACCTGGCCGTGCTCGGCATGCACTCGTTTGAAACTGGTCTGTGTCCCTCCAACGATCGGACAGGAAGGCGAATTTGGCCCAGAAGGCCACGACGTGGATCCCACCGAGACAGGAAGTAGCTCCGGTCAAGAGGCTTCTCACCATTCTTTCTCGGTGTCTCCTGCCTACAGAGATGGTAATCATGCCCCCTTGGGCGCCCTGCCTTCGTACGATGGGATGGGCATGTACTCCCAGTTTGTTCATGCCCCTCCGGGTCAATCTGGAATGTACAATGATATGCGATCACCTCCCATGGTCATACCGCCTCAATCTTATCAACAATCCTCAGTTTATCCAGGCACCCAGTCATCTTCCATTGGGACAGCAGATCGGGGAGTCTTCGTGGAACCTGAGTCCACGGCAGAGAATCTCAGCGAGGTTTTAGGAGAGCTGAAAATCGATGAGACGGGTATCGGTATGGCGTTGCTCTCGTAAAAGAACCAAAAGATATGGAATTGCTAATACCCTCCCAGCTCCCTATATCCGAAGGCAGCGAGCGGATCGCATCGAGCCTGATGCCCCCATTCAAGATGACGTGGAAGAAAGGTTGCCGCCACTCAGCACAGGCGCAGGTGCCACGATTCGAATTCCACCAGAGCTCATGCCCGCAGATGAGGATGTGATGGAATATTTCAAAATTTACTTCGATGAAATTCATCCCTATGTGCCTGTCATACCACGAGCCCATTTCTACTATCAATGGCAAAATGATCGCCGCTCTATCTCTCCCCTTCTCCTTGAGGCGCTATTTGCCTGTTCTGGTCGATTATCGGAAGAGCCCGCAGAGGGCGCCCAGTGGCTTGCATTGGCAAACAGTGAGTCGGTCAGAAAAATTCATTAAGAATGTGCATCTTTTTTTTTACTGATCTCGCCTCCCTTCTCAGGACATGAATCGAGTTTCATGGATGTTCCACGTGTGAGCACGATCCAGGCCATGCTTCTCCTCCTTAAAGCCCGGGAGTCATTACCCAAGAAAGGGTATTACTACCGGTCCTGGCAGACTGTCAAAACAATTGTCTCCATGGCCAAGGATCTGGATATCCACGAACATTATAGTAATCATGCCGAAGGAAGGCCTTGTGACCTGAGCCCAATTGAATGCTTGATTCAAACTCGGATATGGCAGGCCCTTCTGGTGGTGGAGGTGATGATTGGAGCACCCCAGGGTAAGTATCAACCACTCTGTTTGTGCATTGACCTCTCTAATCGGCTTTGCTTAGGTCGCTCGGACTATGGCGTAGACCCCCAAACCGTGGATATGCGTCCGTCGTTGGACATCAGAGGCTTAGATGCCTATGAGACTGATCGCTCACGGCAATATGCTTATTTTGTTCGTAACGCGCATCATATCCGCATCATCACAGATATTTATCATAAGGTAAAAAAGCAAAAGGATTGGGGGGCCGATCCTCGGTTCACGCAAAGAAACCCCCTTTTCGCTGATTGGCTTCGCAATCTACCACCAGATTTGCAGGTCAATTATCCACCTGATGGCTCTCCCCCATGGCTCCCGTCTCATTTTGTGGGCAATATGCATTCTCACTGTCACTTGGCAATTATCCTACTTCACCGACCACAGCTTCAGGCATCCCAGTCCTTTACCGCTGGGGGTGAGTGGAAGATCCATTTCTCCTTGTGCTATTCATCAGCCAAGAGCCTTTGTCGCTTACAAGAGGCCATTTTGGAACGATTTGGATTATCTGGTTTGTTATACATGCAACGAGGTATCAACTTCGCCATCTATTGTATTCTCACCTGTACCATGCTCCACCTGGTAAGTGTTTGATGACAGATTCACGGCTACAGAGTGCATGGAGCTATTTCTAATATTTGCAGGTCGCCATCACCTCACCTGATCCTGAATTCAACTCCGATGCTCGAGAGTTTTTTACCCGCCACATGCGCATCCTTGAGCGATGCTCTACCGCCTGGCCCATGCCCGAAATCCAAGCACAGATCGATTCTTTAAGGCTGGCCTTCTCCGCCGATACCAACCGATCCTTTGAGCTTAAGCCCAGTTTCCCGTATGGCAGTCCTTCGGAGGGCTACCAACCTAGTCCGCCTATGGATGCGCATTATCATCCGCATTTGAGCCAAGTGTCCAGCCATGTCCAATCCAGAGTGGGTTTTAACACACATCCAATTACTCCTCCGATTTCCGCTGGTGCTGAAGACTCGAAGTCCGACACATCCTCCCAGTTGCAATCCCTTGGAATGGTCCCCCATCAACCGCCGACCACTCATCCTCTCGAACAGCCTTTGGTTGATGAGAATAGTTGGGACCCGACCAGAATCATCAAGTAAGTGACTCGAGTGTCTCTCGCCTTGCTGCGGTCCATTTACTTACCGCTTCTCTCCACAGTCAATGGGATATGGCCTTCTCTGTGAACCCCTCCACCGTCAGCACCAACTCGCCTCCGATGCCGATGAGTAACCCAGCGCAACCAATATCAAACATGGTAAATCACCAATACCCTATTCAGTACGACTCGCCGTCCAAGGTGACTCTTCCCCCGACGCAATCAGTCTCCCCGCCACAGTTTCAAGCGCCCCCAGTTGTTTTTAGCGCACGCGACTGGCAACAGAGTGTAGCAAGTGTATATGATCCGCAGGGTTTGAAGCGACGATGGAATTATTCAGTTGACATGGGATCCGACAACATGACCAAACGTCAACGCGGGTAATCCATTTCTACCACTTTACATCAAGATTCACTCTACGTTCTGCTATTAACGCATTGCTGTCTTCACCCTCTTCAACCTCTTCTTATGCTTCTGCTTCTTGATTCCCCCTTCAGTCCTGCTCATTCGAAGTTTGTCTATACATATTTTCACCCTACATGTCTGGTTGAACAGCATGCAGTGATATTACGCTTACGGCTCTTGAATTTGGAACGAACCCTTTCAAAGGATGACCTCGACGAAGACATCGCGGATTGAAATGACCATTGAATACATGAAATCCTTTGTACATCATAACAAGTTCTGGCTCCAAAAGCATCTTTGATTGGATGGTATCTACAAATCAACTTTGGAATTGTGGTTTCTGACGTGTTCTCCTCGAGCTCCATGCGTAGACCTTCTTGCTCTCCCCAAAATGATCGATGCACCTCCATCTTTCAAGTATCCGAGGGGAGACGGAATTAAGAACATCAGGTATGCAGCAATGCTGTGTCCTTGGTGGGTTTGGTTCTTAGTTGTCTTTGGTCGACGGAGACAGTGTGAAGGTCGAGACAGATAGAAAGATCTTCTCGAAGTAGGTCAAGTGATGTATTGTTGTTGTTGTTGTTAGATGCTCGGTATCCTCATTCAAGAAGTGAGAGTTGAAGGGTCCAAGATCAGCCATGGTGTGATGTATGATTGATTCACAAAGGATATGTCAGCCTCGACGGCCGATTCCAATTCTCTCTTCACGAGATCGAACAATTCGGGCCTTATCCCCAGGAAGGGGTTTCAACTCATCACTCGGGTCATATTTGGTGGAGTTGTTTGCTTTTCCTTGTTCAGGGTTTTTGGTCTCCTCCTGTTGACGAAGTCTCGCCTGTTCAAGGGCAGCGATATCTTCGGATGTAACTGTGATGGCGGTGGGCTTTCGGCGCAACATGATTGCAATGTTGGATTGCTGCTGAATTGAGGTGGAGGAAGGACAGGGATGGGGTGTACGCACGTGACCATAGAAAGTCCCAAGTTCCCGAATCCCAAAGTTGTGCTTTTTCTCGGTTTCTGGCTTTTCTCACCACAACGCGCACCATGATTCCACTTCGGCAGATCGTTCGCCAAGGCGACCGAGTGCGGCTGGGGGCATCTGTTCCTATTCGCCATTTCTCTGTTTCTCGCTCCGTCGCCGTCGAGGGTGACGGTAAACCCCGTATGTTCTTCACCAACCTTGGGAAACTTGCAGTTGCTTTGAAGACCAAGAGAATCACCTTAAGGGCATTTTAAAGTATTTGGGCTCTAATTAATTTGGCTTTCAAAGAGACAGGAAACCCCTCCTCGAATCCAAAGCCTGCCGCATCAATCCCAAAGTCTCCGAAGTCTACCGCGACTCCTTCCCTCAAGCCTCGCCCTTCAATCAAGCCTCCAGGATCCGGGCCGCAAAACAGACCCCGGGCTGCGAAAGCTCTGGATGCGAGAGCATTTGCTGCGCCAAGAGCTGGTGTTGAACAACCCAAAATCATTCGCAGTCCCCGGCTTCGTACCGCTCGAGGAGGGAACCAACCCCAGGGCAAGCCCAAGCCTGCGGCAAAGAAAAACCAACGGAAACCTCGAACTAGAGTTTCAAGAAAGACGGAAACCGATGAGGGCGAGGATGTTATTGCCGCTGCAATCCAACAAATTGAGCAAGAACAAGTGATCAAGGCTCGACCGACTCCGGTTCGCTACGAACCTCAGGAGATTGATTTCTCCTCCCTCCAAGAGACCTGGCCATCTCTTCCCACTGACACAAACGCTCGATCTGCTGCGGTTCTGGAGAAACTCTCCAACCTCAGTGGCCGTTTCCCAAATGGGTATGTCCCTCCCTACGAACTGGGTAGACGGATCTGGAAAGGCCAGAATGTCTTGTTTCATAGTGAGGCGGAAAGGATGGAAGCCATGGACGAGGTTAAGCGACTGGCTCAGGTTCGTGCGGACAAGATGTCTCAGCAAAAGGGTGATCTCGTGGAGCCTCGTGTTGTCGAGTTCAATGCCATTAAGACGGAAGAATCCAAGATCTTGCTTGAAACGTATGCCCTAGGGAAATACCCGACGGTTGAGGTTGTTCAGGGCCAACCTGCGGTGCTTGGAGAGGTGGTGAAGAATCTTCGCAACAACGGAACATACCAAACTGCAGGCAAGAGGCCGCAGTTTTTGGCTAAGGTCGAGTCCCTACTGGCCTCCAGCCGTGTCAAGCGTTGAGAATTGCAAGTGTTGTTCTGTACTATATTGGCTGGATTATCTGGGCGCTTTTTGTTACTTTCTGCTTTCCACCCCCCCCAGGGAAGGGTTTTTGTGGCACTTTTGCCCTGCTCCTGTATCTAGAATTACATTTGTGACTATATTACAAAAGTAGCATTCTCATGCCTGCTCCAATGTCTTCTTAGCTGCGTCAAAGAGGTCCTTGACTTCTTTCTGGCCTTTATCAGTCGCCTTTTCCATCTGGTCATGAGCCTTGCGGACGTCATCTGGTCGCGCCAATTTCTTCTTTTGCAGATCTTGTAGACGTTTGTGCATAGCTCCTCTGGAGTCTCGGACCGTGCTTGCGGCCTTCTCAAAGGCCTGCTTAGCCGCGTGGACGCTTTGGTCCCGGGATTCCTTGGTCGGTGGAGGGATCGGAAGGTTGAGCTGAAGAGCGTTATGGGGGTCCGGTTGCGGCGTCAAGGACAAGTTTGAAGAGATAATCGCCGATGTCACCGGTTTGATATGCTGCACGGGAAGCATGTTAGCCAGTTTAGTGGCGGGTCACCGTGTGGCACAACTCACCTCTTCTTCAGCGACCAAGATTGTCACCATCCGTCCTCCTTTAGGCACAACCTGGGCTAAATCCCGCAGTTTGACCGATTCTTGGCTGTCTTTGCTCAACTGGACTTTCAACCCTTCGAGCGATGCGGTATTGAATCGCCCACCAGCGCGAAGCTTCGACAAGTCATCTTTTAGACGAGCAACAGCGGTTGAGATGCCAGTCTGAAGTTGAGTCAAATCTGATGGGTCTTCAGCAGCAACGGGGCTGGGCTCAGTGTCTGCTGAGGCTTTCTTTGCCTTGTCCTTCTTCTTTAACAATGCGGGTGAACAGGAGAAGCTCCGACCCTGGAGGAACAGGGGAGATAGTAGTGGAGGACATGGATTCCGGGACTTTCCATAAATCCGTTGCCGGGGGAGGGAGAGAGACAATCGAAGGAAACGATACATTGTAGAAGCGGTAGAAGGAAGAGTCTCGATGCAAAGGATACCCGGACTACTAGTTCTACGGATAAAAAAAAAATCAAACTCTACCCACTTAAAAAGGCCCATCAATACACTCAATCACAATGTAATTCTGATTCGTCACACATTAAATTTGCAACGTCGATCTTCGTCTACATAAAAAGCATACTTTTTCAAAGTGAAAAAAAAAAGACAAATAATAAAAGAAAAATCACTGCGCCCAAAGTTGCCCGGCTTTAAACACCAAAACATGGACCAACATGTGTGCCCCCATCTGATCTATATGGCGCAGATTGTCCTCCAGACGCTATCCAGAGGAAAGCGGGGAATTAGACAGACGTTGACCATCCTATGTTCATTGATCAATTTAGCGGGTGGCCATGGCCTTGGTGATCAGGCGCTTGAGGGCCAGCTCCTTCTTCTTAAGGTCCTCGGGGGTGGAGTCCTCAATCTCAAGCTGGGCCATGGCGTCGCTAAGAGCAGACTCGATCTTCTCCTTGTTGCCACGCTTCAGCTTCATGGACATGCCGGGGTCGGAGACGATCTCCTCAACACGGGAGATGTAAGACTCAAGCTGCTGGCGGGACTCGAACTTCTTGGTGAAAGCCTCATCGCTGGACTTGAACTTGGCAGCATCCTCAACCATCTGGTCGATCTCGTTGCTGGACAGCTTGCCGACAGCGTTGGAGATGGTGATGTTAGCAGAGCGGCCGGAGGTCTTCTCAGTGGCGGTGACCTTCAGGATACCGTTGACATCAACCTCGAACACACACTCAAGAGCGGCCTCACCGGCACGCATAGGAGGGAGAGGAGCAAGAGTGAACTCGCCGAGGGAGGTGTTGTCAGCGCAGTTGGTACGCTCACCCTGGTAGACAGGGAACTGGACGGTGCTCTGGTTGTCAACGACAGTGGTGAAGGTGCGCTTCTTGATGGTGGGGACAGTCTGGCCACGGTTGACGACAGGGGCGAAGATGTTACCCTCCATGGCAACACCAAGAGACAGGGGAACAACGTCAAGGAGGAGGAGGTCCTGGGTCTCGGCGGAGGTGGCCTTTCCGGAGAGGATACCGGCCTGGACGGCAGCACCGTAGGCAACGGCCTCATCGGGGTTGATGCTCTAGAACGGAATTGGTCAGTTTCTGTTATGATATAAGAAAGAATAGAAAATTTACCTTCTCAAGCTGCTTGCCATCGAAGAAGTCGCTCAGGAGCTTCTGGATGCGGGGAATACGGGTGGAACCACCGACAAGGACGATCTCGTCGACCTTCTTCTTCTCCATACCAGAGTCCTTAAGGACCTGCTGGACAGGGTCCAGAGTGCCAGAGAAGGCCTTGGCGTTCAAGTCCTCGAAACGGGCACGAGTGATAGAGGAGTTGAAGTCCTCACCATCGAACAGAGAGTCGATCTCAACAGTAGTCTGGGTAGCGTTGGACAGAGTACGCTTAGCACGCTCGCAAGCAGTACGCAGGCGACGGAGGGCACGGGCATCACCGGAGAGGTCCTTGCCGGTCTTACGCTGGAACTCCTTCTTGAAGAAGTCGAGCAGGTTGGTGTCGAAATCCTGACCACCAAGGTGAGTGTCACCAGCGGTGGCCTTGACAGTGAAGACACCACCCTGGATGTTCAGAAGGGAGACATCGAAAGTACCACCACCCAGATCGTAGATCAGGACGTTGCGCTCCTTGTCAGACTTGCCGGAACCCAGACCGTAGGCGATAGCAGCGGCAGTAGGCTCGTTGATGATACGGAGGACATTCAGACCGGCGATGGCACCGGCATCCTTGGTAGCCTGACGCTGGTTGTCGTTGAAGTAAGCGGGCACGGTGATAACGGCCTTCTCAACCTTCTTGCCGAGCTTGGTCTCGGCAACCTCCTTCATCTGTTCTCAATTGTTAGTAAGACGATCGATTCAATTTTAGCCTACAAGCACGTACCTTCATGAGGACCATAGAGGAGATCTCCTGAGGGGTGAAGGTCTTGGTCTCACCGAGGTACTCAACCTCGACGGCAGGGCTGACACCCTGGTCAACGACCTTGAAGGGCCAAGACTCGACATCCTTCTTGACAATGGGGTCATCGAAACGACGACCAATCAGACGCCTTCGCACTACCAGTCAGATACAACCAGAAAAAGAAAAACTCAACACTCGGGACTCACTTGATGTCGAAAACGGTGTTGGTAGGGTTCATAGCAGCCTGGTTCTTGGCGGCCTCACCAATCAGACGCTCCTTGTCGGTGAAGGAGACGAAAGAGGGGGTGGTGTAGCTACCCTGATCGTTGGCAACTGATCATCCCCAGTCAGTATGCACAATCATCACTTAGGAATATCGGAAGGAAGAACGCACTGATCTCGACATTGGTGCCCTCGTAGTTGGCAACGCAAGAGTAGGTGGTGCCTGCACAGTTCAGTCAGAGAGATTTGAGATTTGTGGGATTATTGCAATTATCATACCAAGATCGATACCGATCGCTCCGTCGTACACCGGAAGGTCCGCCATTGTGAAATTGAGTGGTAGAATTGGAGGAATGGAAAAAGGTGGGAAAGAGGGGTTTGGACGGGTCGAAATTTTTTTTTATAAAAGCAATGCCCACACTATGGGCAGGGCAGAAAACTTTGTGGTGGCGGTGTATCACGTGGTGTGGGAAGAGCCGAATGATGACTGATCATGTGTTTACATAATGAAAGAATTAAAGTTAACTAGACACACCAACTAGCTTAGTTAGATAGACGTAAGACTGCGCCCTATTGAAGGTCGTCATAGTCAATGATACTTTTACTTGGTTTCATTTATTACAAGACTGCTCAAAGTAACTCCCATAGAGAAGACATTCCAAAATAATTGGGGGAAATGCTAATAACAAGGTACATAAACAAGCAGATCCCATTGCCACTATAACACCTCTTCCCCTATTTATCGCAATAGGTTAAAAAATATGGTGACCCGCTCATAATCCACCTCGGAGCCTGGGGGGCCGGATTTAGGAGCTCCCCTAGCCGGTCCGGCTATGGCCTCCAAGTCAACCTTTGTAGTACCTGGTTGGAGTTGGATATCGTACGCCAGCGTAGATGCATCTCCAGTCGCATGAAGGCGTTGAGTGCCCATCATGGCAACGACTTTGACCTGCCGTTGCGCTGTACTAGCCGTTAATGTGGGTCTGACGGTCAACAAGTGATGTGAAGGGGATAAAGGGATAGTGATTGTTTGTTGAGACAATGTGGATGACGGAGGAATGTCCAAGCGAAAGTCTTCTTTCAGAGATAGCGAGGGGTGCGTGAGGATTTGAACATTGCGGATGAGTGCTGAGTTGGCATCTGGGTTGTTGGTTAGCGAAATAGGTCTTATATATCCCTAGCTCCACTGAAACCATGAAGCAGTTTCAGAGGTAAAAGAGAATTAGTCCTACCTTGACCTGGTCGTCGCCTAAGAGAATCCATAGGGGATAGCTCAAGAGAGGGATGCATCAATGCTGTGAGTAACGATCAAATGTTAGCATCTAAGCCAAACCCCAAGTTTCAGTTATCGTGCAGCCTCGCCTTACCATCCTGATGGGGAAGTCCACTTGGGGAGTCTAAGGGGACCCCATGTAGGCCAGCGGACGAGCGCATCTCGGCCCGTTGGAAGGATGCTACTGGCGTTTCGTCTTTTACGACCCCAGTTGTGTCGCGGCCATTGGCCAGACCGTGCGGTGGCTCCGAAGCTGACGGGGTGGTGGCCGCACTAGACTTCGGGCTTTCGATATTTCTGCGAAGAGATCTAGTTCGAGGTGACATATGATGTGTATCAACCTCTTGGCTGGTGGACCCAGTGCGGACTAGCTCTTGTTGTCGTTTGAGAGAATCGCTATCGACAGTGACCCCGGATGGCGTTTCATCGTCCCTTGGGGGTTCGGAGGTCTGTCGAGCCATCTTCAATGTTAACTTTTGCGCCCCCAGCTCCGGATTGTTCGAGGCCATTTTCAACTTGATGCGAGGTAATTCGGGGTGACCATCTACCTGAATGGGATCCGGAACAAGCTTCTTGGCCTCTGCCACTCGGTGTAGGAAATAATCCTGATAGCATGTCAGCCCATTTTGGTCGAAGAAAAAAGGAGCCATGGTGTAGAAAAAAGGCTTACCTCAAGCACACCCGCAAGAACAGAAATTTCGCTGCCATCCTCGTTATACTCTCGAGCATTTCGCCACAGATAACTGACCTCCTCTTCGAAAGACAGCCACGTCGGAAACGCAGTCATCTTAGTACCTTTCTTCCTTCCATCGGTACCACGGACCTTTTTTTGAATGCTGCGCAACGAGACTGGATGGTGGATGACTTCATAATAGTCCCGATACAGGTTGCGGTCTGGTTTACCGATGAACGGGTAAGCTACCTCCTCGCCACTATAGAGCATGATAAGTGTCACTTCAATTGCATAGCGTGGGTCACAGAATCTCACTCTGAGTCTTTTAGTCGGAATAGCTCCGATAGGATCTTGTCTTGCGCGGCTTGAAGGCTATCGCCCTCGAAGTCCACCTCGGGCTCATCCTCGTCATTTTGTGATCCGGAGCTGAAGTCTGCTTCGGCATCATCTACTGGCTCGGAGGATGCACGGTTTGACTCGTCGGGGTCCACAAGATCATCGTCCTATTGCATATCCACGAGGGTTAGTCCCCTCATTGCGACACGAGGCGTAGCTGATCGCAACTTGAGTCGCGTCGCCCGCATAGGTTAAGAGGAAGATAGTCTACGCGATCGAAGCACGGTGGCTATCACGAGCGCCATGCTGCAGATCCATCTTGTTTGTGGAAGAAGTACATCAAGGCGACTTACAGACAGTTTGCGACGCTTTTGACTGCGCAGCTTCAGTTCGGGGGAAGCTACTGCCGCGGCCACACGCCGTTTTGTGCTCATCTCGGGAGTAGTGGAGATAGTTCAGAGAGAACCCAACAAATAAAATGTAGCACAAATGGGAAAGCAAAGGACTCAAAGGATGCCCCAGAAACCCATACCTCGACGTGTGCAGACGCGCTGCGATCGTCCGAGTGGACCCGCCGTCTTAGGTAAGTGGTATTCGGCGCGTCAGCGTATTGGCGGGAATGGGAATACAGTGACAATGTGATTGTAACCTCTCATTCTCTTGTATTCTTGGAGATGATCAGAAGGATATATTCAATTGAAATAGAGTCCGAATCTTGATGTCCAAGTACAATCTCACGCACTCCATAGAATACATATAGAATGTCAAGAACAAGACACAAGTGTCGACACCTCAGGCCTCAACCTTCCCCTCCATCTTCTGCTCTTGCTCTCTCTCTTCCGCGTCCCGCAAAAACAAACTGGTTCGTGTCTCCAAAACACTCACGCCTCCACTTTCCCTGTTGGAATCTTTGGTGAGTTCATACCCTTTGGTTCTGGGAATTTCTTTTGAAAAGAGAGTGAGTGAAAGCGAGTCAAGCTTCCCTCCCAAAAAAAAAATATTCAATGCCGTGCTCCGAACTTCACATATTAACCTACGTGCCATAGAAGCAGAGATTCGACAATTTCTCCAATCCCCTTTCCTTTTAAGACATCATCCCTCTCCAATGGATATCGATCCGGTCAGAAGAAATAAGAAGCCCCGGCTCTTGTTAGAGTCGGAGCGCGATCGTCTAGATGAATTCATCGACTCCATCCACTACTCGGCAAGGCACGACCCCCTCACCCTCCACTTCATACCCGGCAGGCAACTAATGTAGAAGTAGATATTCGGACGACAAATTCGAATACCGTCATGTGCAGCTTCCCAAGAACATGCTTAAGAAGATCCCCTCAGACTACTTTGACAGCTCGAAAGGCACTCTGAAACTGTTGTGGGAGGAGGAATGGCGAGCATTGGGAATAACACAGGTACAGTCAGTCCAACATTCAGTCTGGTGATAATCTTGCTAATGCAGGACTTGGCAGAGTTTGGGATGGGAACACTATGAGGTGCATGAGCCGGAGCCTCATATTCTCTTATTCAAGTCCGTATTCCCCGGGTTTCCTCCCTCCGTTGTTCTCTACTGACCTCTTCCAGACGGCCTCTGAATTACCAGCCGCCAATGGCACAATAGACTCCTGATGATTTCGGTTGCGCAGCGGAGGTTTCCCCTCTCTTCCCTTTCTGAGACACAAATGTGATGAATCTCTTTTCTTTTCTTTGTTTTATTACATGGACATGCATCCGACCAGTATGTTCACTAGGATCCACAACATCTTTCTCTATGGAAGTTCTGGAATGAGATATGATTCAAAATGTTACCATTGCTCATGGACTCGGTAAAGGTGCTTGATCTACGCGCAAAAGTGAACCTACCCTGTCATAGATAAGTCCCCTTTTTTTCCTCTTGTTAAACCACATTCTGAGCCAACCATTCGGCCCATTGAGCCGCCGTGAAGCTGCTGCTGATGCTTCGCTCCTCTACTCCCTGGGCTGCATGTTAATACCTTATGAGAATCGCTACAGTCGAGGCTCTCTTACATTGAAAAAGACGGTGGGAGAGACATGAACCCCAATCACTCTATCCGTCTAGCTAGCATTAGGCGAAGTCTCAGAATTAGGGGCATCTGTTACTTACTTTGATGATCCATTTGAGATCATTGGTGATCTGGTTCCCGACGTTCATGTGTCCATCTTCGTCGGGTACTTCAGGGATCCTCAACAAATCCAAGAATTTTCTCTCGTCCACGCCAACAGATCCGGCAATATTGGCCAGCCGTCCGTATGTGGTATTGCGGGTTTCGTTCACCACACTCACATCGAAAAATTCGGTCTGGTGCTTGAACAATGCGGCGCTAAAATCCCAGAACTTCTCAGGGGCCAGACGAAGAACCGCTACTCCAGCTTCGTGAGTGAGTGTGGACGAGGGGTGCCATGGCTGGATATGCTGCCGAAATAAGACCTGGAGCCGGGGACCATACTGCAGCGCAATTTGGGGACTCATCGCATAAAAAGTATTGAACATCTTGGCAGAGAACTGAAAGAATTTTTAGTTTGATGCATAATTCCCTCCTGTGAAACTAACTCACTGGGCAAACATAGTCAAGATCTGGAGATCGTCAGCTTCTCATTCTTGTTCACTTTTAGCTATACCAATCTAGACATACACAATTCCAGCGTATGCTGGCTCTCCTGGGGAGCACTAGCTGAAAGCTTAAGCCCTGCAAATTTAGGAGGGACCGACATGGTTTGGGGGAATTTTGTATTTGAGGGAGAAAGGCGTTTATGGACTTTTCTTATAGTAAGGAGGGGTGCTGACGTTACCCCGCCTCGGCATTACTTAGGATTCATTATTACATCACAGAGCCTTTTGATGCTGGGCTGATTTTTCTTCTGATCCACATTGAAACTGAATATGAGATTCATATACCACAATCTGTTTGCCCGAGTTTGCTAAAATTCAAGCGATGCCGCATCTTTTATCACCATGGGCATTCGTCTTATATATAATTCGAGTTGAATTGAGACATCAGAATCTAGAGGGTTTATCGGCGAACTAGGCAAACGTATCGGAACAGGCGTGGTCTATTCACCAGTTCTCGTTTCATAGCTACGTTCTCTGCAATATCAATTGCCAATAACACACGGCCTGTTGTCACTAGGCGAAGAGGCCTGGTGCTTTTCTCTAGTATGCTTGACCTAGACAAGGGACATCATAAACAGGGGGGTCTGTATTCAATCAAAAGTCAGCGGCCCCCAAGCGGTCTTTGCTTCCTTAAGTTTACATCCCGCAATGACATCTCAACCGTGCGCCATCCAGACTTAGAAGGGTCGTATTCACCGCGCACCTCGAATCTGCAGAATCCATTGGGCCCCTTAAGACCGACAGGGCCAGAAATGAAGAATGTTCCCCGAATAGGTGTTCGTGGGGTCTTGGCCTGGTATTCATTTAGTCGCAACCGAAAGGCAAGAGATGCCAGGTGTAGATCTGACCCAGGACCTAAATCAGGCAAAGGGAGTCGTTGTAACGACGATATGATGGAAGAAGGATGAAGCTCAACGTCTTCATTTGGAGGAAGATTCCCTGAGGTCTCTTCAGGCACGGCGGGCTGAAGACTGGGCTGTTCATGACTGAGGTTTTCGTTATTTGAAAGAATACGCCGTTCACTAAAGCTCTCCAGAGCATGAGGTGTATCGCCCCTGAAGCGAGCTAGTTGTCTTCTCAACAATACTAGATAGGCATCTTTGATAGCAAGTGCCACATGAATGGGTTTCATGAAGGTCTGTACCTTATCGCCGATTTCGGGATCGATGGGTCTCGTAACCCAAGCCACACCATCATCTGTAACTTCGATACTAAGTCAAACATGTTAGTACCTCCGGATTAGTCGATTTCCCAGTATACATACCCAGATCGTAGATATTCCGGAGGAGCGCGATGCGGAAATTGATGTACAAGCCAAAAGCCAGTCAGGGAGAGGGGACTCCCGAGTATCTGGGACAACTGGCCCGAGGCACTGTCTCGAACAATAGCGGCAAGTTCATCTGAAACGATCAGCCAAATAAAGACACCAGATGGGTGGTCACCTACCTCTCAATTTCTTGAGTTTCTCCCGATCTTTGGATATTTGCACAAATTCTTGCCATTCTGGATCCGAAGCAGTATAGAGCTCGCCTTCTTCCAACCAGGACCAAGTCAGCGGGACAAACAAGGGCGCCCCAATTTCCTCCTCATCTTCCAGCAACTCTTCACCCCTGTAGGGACTCCGGCGCAAACCAGTTGCTTCCGGAGTTGACTCGGGCGACGCATCAATCTCGCGGGTATCATCGTCAAAGCGGACTAGAACGAATGAACTCCATAACTGATATGCGGCACCATAAAGAAGACACTTGGAGAAGAATGATCTAATACAACTTGATAAGCATGGTCTCCACATCAATGTAGACGGGGTCAGAGCAACTCACCTCAGCCAAGGCCGTCTGAACCTCACATGCCGGACAGTCGGGGTTGTATGGATGAATTCACGAGGGCCAGAATGGAAGCGAAAGAGGCGGGCTTGGCTTCGGAATATGTGCCTGAGCCGGAGCATTGAGACAATCCAAATGAGTATGCTCGAAAAAGATGATGATAGAGAGAGATTTGAGGCGCGGCTCTTGTGGCGGGTGACCACGTGATATCTTATCGCAGCCGGGAGACCTCCACGTATTCGGGAACGTATTAAGGGTTCTTGTAGCTTGACTCCGGGAAGCTTTGATTCTCCCCTGAACGAGAAATCCACACATTCTTATCACACGAAGGCCTGCTACGACAATACTAATTCCCACCAGCTCCCCCCAAGGCTATTTCCAAAGAGAACCTACAAGATGTACTGGGTCTCCAAGCTCCTTGCCCTCGCGGCGACAGGTGCTTTGGGGACGAATGCGATGGAGGCCTCGATCTTCAAGTTCCCCTCGGACCTTCCCTTGGACTCAGGATCTGTGACAGTTTCTGAAGATTTCGCGCAGCTCGCTTTGAAGATACGCGTGGAATCTTCTCTAGCATCGGTTCTTCGAGGCATGGAGACTGAAGCGGATCGCCTGGACCAATTTGCCGATACCCAATTGCCTCTTTTCGGTAGCAATTACGAAATACCTGGCAAGAGTTTGGTTATTTTAGAAGGATATGATGGGGAAACCGGTATGAAGAGCACGCTGCTAGGATGGGTGATGTCAAAGCTAATCCTTTACTTCTTCCACTAGACATGAGCATGCGCAAGAAGCAATTACCCAATCTTTTCGTTCCTAGTGCCTCTTACGACTTGATCAACGAGCCGTTCACATCGCTTGTGGAAGGCGACAATAAAGGGAGCCACTGCACGTACCACAAGGGCGATGGCAAAACGAAGTCTACTTGGGTACGAATTTCCGCCCTATTCTAGCGCTGTTGGACGGAAGAAAAGGTCATCCAAACAAAGGAGATGTTCATTGCGCTAACAGCATGAATTAGACCGCCAAAGACTGTCTTTTCAAGAACCCAGTTCTTTCTCTCGGTCAGAACTTGTTCGATCATGATCTTTTGGATCTTATCGATTCGTTAGAGACATGGGTGAGCAAGGATCAAAAGACAACCGCTACCCGGTTATCGTTCAAGGTAATTATCTTTTCCTCGACTTGGAGAGACTAATGCTAATTTTGTATCTTTTTTATTGTCAACAGGCCGCATCCGATGATAAAATTCGCCATATCAAACCTTTGGAGTCGATTTTCCAGTATTTGGCCAAGTTATCTTCCGCCGACAAGTGGGATGTTACAGCTGTGATCCTTACCGGCTCGGAGCACGATTCGGAAGCCCGTAGGAATATTTCCCAGCGTGACGAGAATTGGGCGGAAACATTCTCATCTGCGTCCGAGGCACAGAATGACCTTCGAGACCTGTCTCTGCACTCGAACCTCGCCCCTGTCTGCCATACTTCCAACTCATCTTGTGCAGAGTCAACTAACAACTGCTCTGGACATGGGTACTGCTACCTGAAATTTACATCTGGTGGCGAAGCTACCACCGGCAACTGTTATGCATGCCGCTGCCAACAGACCGTGGTGCGGAAAAAGGATGGCACTACCCAGAAGGTCCAGTGGGGTGGGCCAGCGTGCCAGAAAAAGGATATCAGCTCACCATTCTTCCTGATTGCCGGAGTTAGCGTCTTTGCTGTCATCATGATCAGTAGCGCGGTTGGAATGTTGTTCAGCATGGGTCAGCAAGAGCTGCCTAGCGTGATTGGGGCTGGAGTAGGCGGGTCGAAAGCGCAGACATGAAATTAAGTTTTCTGGCCTTTGTCTCTCTTTAACTTTCGGGTTCTTTTTTTGTTCCTCTGCAGGGCTACCGGCTTTTTCGTGTATATTTGGCCCAGGGGGTCTTGTTACACTTATTTACTTTGGGGCTGGGCTCTTTCCCGGCATATCTAGATTCTTGTCATGTGTGTATAGCTACCCACCGGTCCTAAGTGAGCCCTGGAGATGGGGCTGCATAACGAGCTGATGCTATTTCGATCTATGCTCCATGATCTCGCTTGGCCGTCGAAATTTTGAGACTGATTGCTTTATATCACAACTTAAAATGATGACATTTCGATACCCGTAGGCATTGTACCCGTTTTCCCGTGGTCACCTAGCCAAATTAATATATATGTATCCTTGGTGCTAAGAATCCATCGTGACGTACTTCAAGTTCGCTCGATGTCTGAGTACCATAGACCCAGATGAGATAAGATATACGAGAGGGATGGATCGCAAGCAGTTTTGCCAATGGTGGACCATTCAAAGTAACCATTGGAGGTATTGAGAAAATTAGAATTGAAAGATACATCCAAAAAGTGACTCGTAATTGGTCGAGATCGTAAGTCTTCATCTTTACAGATCAGGGCCAAGTCCCCGATTTACCCCTGAATACCCCACTCCTCCACGAGAAGTGACTTGACAGGGAAGACCAAAAGAAAGAAGAGAAGATCGTTAACTCATAAATGGCCCAGAGTGGCTGATAGCCCGCGTACGCCCGCAGGACCCCAGTGAATCAATAAATTACACAAAATCAAATATTCGACAATGAAATGGCTGTGCTGAACAAACATTCCAGATGTTGATGCAGCATGCAGGTATTTTGGGGAATCAAGGAATCGTAAGTAGAAACGGTGGTGCGAAATTTAAAGCCCGGCTTCAAGTTGACCAGGTGTGCGGGACTGTTCAACTGACGTTTGGTCAGTCAAGGCCCCAGGAGAGGGTGTCGAGGAAGTATTGGAAGAATGCCCACGCGGACGCATCGGAAAAAGCCGTGACCAATAAGACTGGCGTGGTAGACTTTCTTGAATTTCAGGGTCTCGGGGCGTGCGCCTCGAGCGGCCTTCAGGTTGTGAAGACTCCAAGTGGAGTTCTGAGTGTGAGTTGTGGAACATACGTCCAGGAAGGGCCATCTGCAATCGAGATAGAGGGGTCTGATTGCTCCTGGGGTGAGTTGCACGAGGTCTCGGCAGGATATCGTTACGACTTGATACCGTGCGACGCCCTTGCCGATCCCCTGATAATGTTCCTTCAGTTGCGTGTGCACGAGGCTTGGGGACATAATAATCGGCTTTGCAAAGGGGACAACAAGCTCTCCGACTAGTCAACCAAGGATCGACACACGAGGCATGGAAAGCATGTCCGCAGGTCAGCCCACGGATATCATCATCATCCTCAATTATGTCCAAACAGATCGCACAGGAATCCCCCGGGTTGGGAAGTAGCTCCGGCGGGACAGCTTTACGAATATGATCGCCTTCTTCGTCTTCTTCTAGGTCAATATTTTCATTGACCAGGTTGTGCTGCCACTTCTCCTCCGTCATGTCTGCACCCATTTCGCCCTGGGAAATGGTTGCGGAATGAGTAACCTTCTCCCTAGACTGCATGTTTGATCCGGGTTGCGAATGGGAGGACTCCTGTGGATTTAGAATACCACTCCCATGCTCTATCTCAGCGGGGGTAAGTGCAGTCATTTCTGCACCATCTGGTGCAGATACAGCCCCCTCCTCATGCATCAGGCTCTGCGGCCGGCTATTAGGAGCGGTGATGCCTCCTTCTGTTGGAAGACCTTGGTTGGCGCGCGACGACCTCCAGACTTTGTATTTCATCAAGGGAAATCTCGCATTAACTTCGTCCATCGTCATCAGTCTCTTTTCTCGTCGTCTCCGATGGGGCCGAGGCATGGCCACCAGGTCAATGGGTTCCCCAGTCTCTTCGCTGCGCAGCTGCCGATTCCGTTGGTTGTACCGGAAACAATACTTGACCCCGACAATAATCCTAAGTTACCGTCAAAACTTCAGTTCTCTCACCAAGAAATCGAGTTGGAACTAGGGTGGTTCAGAAGGAACCCGTGAAAAGAAACATACCATAGATTGGTGAAAACAACGCCAAACCCAAGGGCCACGAAGAAGAGAAGAGGGGAGCTGGTCGCAGAACCAGAGCCACTTTCACTGTTAGCCGTAGTAGTCGCTGCAGGACTGGCAGCGGAGGTCGTAGTTGCATTCATTTTTCCTTTTTTATTGGTTTTTCTTTCTTTCTTTCTTATACAGACGTGCCCGAGGGAATTGGTAGTCAAATGGAAATGGAGAACGTAAATCACTTATAAGGGTCTTTGAATTTTCAACCCAGCGTCCCTGGATCCCGAGGTTCAGGATGGCCTCACCGCGAGGACAGAAAACGATGAGCTGCCGCTCAGGAGAGTGGAGTGGAAGTCATATAGCCAGTGACCACGACAAGGGCGGGTACAGTGGATAATCGACCACGTTAGGGTCGTGTTTCTCTGTACCTAGGCAAGGGTCTCATGTCCCTGTAAAAAACGATAGTATGGGGGTTCAAGTGGATTACCCCGAGCCAAGGAGCTGTAGAGAGGGGGAAGGAGATCGAGACTTGAGGCTGGAGTCACGGGAACTAAAATTTCAATACATACCGTACAAGAACCACAACTTTGTACACGTACCTTTTATATTAGAATGGTCGAGATTCATAAAAAAAAAAAAAAAAAGGAAGATTCTTATTGACACATATATGTATATAAAGAGAGTATCATTCGTTTACCCGAAAGAACAAAACATATTTCACCAGCCACTTGAGCATCTTACAATAAAATACCAAAGTATACCTTAGTCTCCCTTCCGAATCTGTATCTTAATTGCAACCCTCCCACATAGTACACCAGATCATCATGGCTGAATCCGTAGCGACCGACCCCTCGAACCCGGTGGTGTTCTTCGATATCGCCCTTGCAGGTATGTATCCATGCTCTCACCCGCGACTTGCAAACTAATTCCCATAGGTCAGCCTCTGGGCCGAGTGAAAATGGAGCTTTTCGCCCATGTGACCCCACGGACTGCTGAGAATTTCCGACAATTCTGCACGGGGGAGAGCAAGAACTCCAAAGGACAGCCTCAGGGCTACAAGGGGAGCAAATTTCACCGCGTGGTAGGTACCCTACATTGCAATTCAGTTCGGGGTGCTGACAACAGTAGATCAAAGATTTCATGATTCAAGGTGGAGACTTCATCAATGGAGACGGCACCGGATCGTGTACCATCTATGGAACGCCCAAGTTTGCGGACGAAAACTTCGCATTGACCCATGACCGTCCAGGTCTTTTGAGTATGGCTGTAAGTCTTCCCATCACCTCTTGAGGATCCTTTTGGCTAAGAGGTTAGAATTCGGGACCCAATACCAATGGTTGCCAATTCTTTGTCACCACAACCGCAACGCCTTTCTTAAACAACAAACATGTCGTGTTTGGCCAAGTCGTTGATGGATTAGACGTGATTCGTATGATCGAGAATACTCGAACTACAAGGGACAAACCAAATCAAGACGTGACAATTGTGCAATGTGGAGAAATGTAGATACCAGATAGTTTGATAATGCAACGAAGTTACCTCAAGGAAGAAAAAGGCAAGAAAGGAAAGGAACCAAAAGCAATCTGCATTTCTCGCTGAATCGACTACACTAGATATACACGGTCATGGTTCGGAATGGGCTAAGATGAACACTCTTTCATCCAAACATCCAAACGTAACAATTGGCATCTGCTAGAACATCACCAATAAAGTTGGAAATGAGCGCCTTATGGATCCAAATCCATATCCATTGGATCATCATGATCGGGTTGCAAAATGTTATTATTCACGTCTGAGTGGCTGGCAGATGAGGACTGGCAGGCACGAGCTCGCGCTCTCGATTCAATGATTGCTTTGCGCACACTATCTTGCTCCTTGGGAACCGTCAGAGAAGACGGTTCGGTGTAGAGAACTAACTCTTTGCCTTGCGCTGGGTTGGATGACAGCACCGACTTGGGCAATGAGATCATTCTGGCCGCCAGAGGGAGAAGCACCAGAGTATCGGGTGGATCTGGTTCCGCTAATTCATGATCCAAGTCGTAGATATAGGTGGTATGTTCGGTGTCATCTAAGTGCATGGCCGACTCATGGGAAGGCGTGTCATATTTGGTCCGAGCACAGGCGTCATGATCTGCCAAAGAATGGGTTAGCTGATTCAACTCCTTTCTCTCCTACTTCTCGGAGGTCGGACAATCAAAAAAGGGAGAGAAAGAGCAGAAGCGAAGCAGAAAAGATAAAAACCCTACCGATCTGAAGAAAGCCGAATCTCTTGGTTAGTGGTTGCGCGCCATCTGGATCACCATCGGCGGGACGCTTTTTGCCTTGGGACTTCTCTTCACTCCGTGCCATCCACACCCCCTGTCTTGCACCGGATCCCACTGCGGAACCCCCGGGATCAGATGCTTCTATTTGTTTCTCTGTAGTTTCTCGGTTGATATTCCAAAGATCCAGAGAATTCGAAGCGAGTGAGAGGGGAGGGGCTATAGTCCCATTCGTTAAATGCGGGTTCCTGGAATTCAGAGGGGGAAGTGGCTTTGACTCATCTCTTTCGGATTCCACCTTTCTCCCCTCCTCGCTTTGTTCGCATTCGCCCACTCTTGTCTCCCCCCATTGTCAGGATGGCGTCCGATACTTCGACTTGGTCGGCTCAGCGTGTTCGAGAGACCTTTTTCGACTTTTTCAAGGAGAATGGCCACACTTTTGGTAGGAGACCCCGCGATTTTTATTTTTTTGCCCCTCCAAACTGACCCCCCGCCACTATGGCTCGCAATTACAGTGCCCTCCTCTTCTGTCGTTCCATTGTCCGATCCGACCTTGCTCTTCACCAATGCTGGAATGAACCAGTTCAAGTCGATCTTCCTGGGCACCGTGGACCCTCAATCAGACTTTGCCAAACTGCGCCGCGCCGTGAATTCGCAAAAGGTATTGAAATTTGTCTTTCAGGACCAGCAAAGATCTCTCTACTAATCATTGGTCTATCGCTCTGTTTGATAGTGCTTGCGCGCTGGTGGAAAACACAATGTAAGTCCTCTGGAACTCCCAGAAGCTCCTCACGGTTGCTAATGGTCTCTACGTAGGATCTCGATGATGTGGGCAAGGACAGTTATCACCATGTGAGTACCTCTTCCATGTCTTTTTTCAGGGACAATACTTATATATCGGAACCAGACCTTCTTTGAGATGCTTGGTAACTGGAGTTTCGGCGACTACTTCAAGAAAGAAGCCATCTCGTATTCGTGGACCCTCTTGACGAAGGTCTATGGCCTGGATCCTGACCGTCTCTACGTCACTTATTTTGAAGGAAGTGAAGCAGGTGGCCTGGAACCAGACCTTGAGGCAAAGGAACTCTGGAAATCAGTCGGTGTTCCAGAATCTCACATTATTCCCGGCAACATGAAGGATAATTTCTGGGAAATGGGTGACCAGGGCCCGTGTGGTCCATGCAGTGAGGTGCACTACGATCGAATTGGCGGTCGTAATGCTGCTGATCTGGTCAACCAGGACGATCCAAACGTGCTGGAAATCTGGAACAATGTGTTCATCCAATATAACCGAGAAGCAGATCGGTCTCTACACTCCCTGCCCAACAAACATGTCGATACAGGAATGGGCTTCGAGCGACTCGTGTCCATTCTTCAAGATAAGTCCTCGAACTATGACACCGACGTCTTCACCCCCATCTTCCAAGCCATTCAAGATATTACCGGGGCTAGGGAATACCGTGGACTGTTTGGAGCTGAAGATACCGACGGTATCGATACTGCCTATCGTGTAGTGGCGGACCATGTGCGGACCTTGATGTTTGCAATTTCGGATGGTGCTATTCCCAACAATGAGGGTCGTGGCTACGTCATTCGTCGAGTGTTGCGCAGAGGAGCTCGATTTGCTCGCAAATACTTCCAAGTGGATATTGGAAACTTTTTCTCCAAGTTGGTCCCAACAGTGGTGGCCCAACTTGGCGAGCTGTTCCCGGAGCTCAAGAGAAAGCAACAGGACGTGATGGAAATTCTTGACGAGGAAGAGCTATCCTTTGCCAAAACGCTGGATAGGGGCGAACGCCAATTTGAGCAATACGCCCAGCAAGCTAAGGTGAAAGGTTCTGATAAGCTCCACGGTGCCGATGTATGGAGACTGTATGATACCTTTGGCTTCCCTGTCGACCTCACTCAGATCATGGCCGAGGAACGTGGGCTGCGCATTGACGACGTGGAATTTGAGGAAGCACGCCTGAAGGCAAAGGAAGCTAGCAAGGGTCAGAAAAAGACTGCTGCAGATGCCGTCAAACTCGATGTTCATGATCTGGGGAAGCTGGAGAAGATGGTGGATGTTCAGAAAACGGATGACTCTGCCAAGTTTGGACGAGGTAATATCACTGCCCACATTAAAGCGATCTATCACGGTAAGACCTTCTATGACAGCACCAAGTCTGCCCCCGATGGAGAACAGCTTGGAGTCATTCTTGACTGCACCAACTTCTATGCCGAACAGGGTGGTCAGGAAAGTGACACTGGCAAGATTGTCATTGATGGACAGGCCGAGCTCGAAGTCGGTGATGTTCAGGTGTACGCCGGATACGTTCTTCACACGGGTTTCATGAAGTACGGAGCCCTTTCCGTGGGGGATACTGTGATTTGTGAATATGACGAGCTTCGTCGTTGGCCCATCCGGAACAACCATACCGGTACTCACATCCTGAACTTTGCTCTTCGGGAAATTTTGGGGGATGGAGTCGAGCAAAGAGGATCTCTTGTGGCAGCCGAGAAGCTTCGGTTTGATTTCTCTCACAAGGCAGCCATCTCGGACACCGACTTGGAGAAGATCGAAGCCAAGGCTACCGAATATATTCGCCAGAACTGTGCTGTGTACTCCCAGGAGGTCTCTCTGGCGACGGCGCAGCAGATCTCCGGTGTCAGGGCAGTTTTTGGAGAGACATACCCCGATCCGGTTCGTGTCGTCTCTGTGGGTGTTGAGCTGGAAGAGATCTTGCGGAATGTTCAGGATCCCCGCTGGCACGAGGTCAGTATTGAGTTTTGCGGTGGCACACATGTCCAGAAGACCGGTGACATCAAAGACTTGGTTATACTGGAGGAGAGTGGCATTGCCAAGGGAATTCGCCGTATCATTGCCGTCACTGGTGAAGATGCTCACGAGGTTCAACGGCTTGCCCAAGAATTTGAGAAGCGTCTTGACCGATTGGACTCGCTGCCTCTGGGACCTGAGAAGGAGCGAGACGCCAAGCAGGTGCAGGTGGAACTCAACCAGCTTGTAATCTCTGCAGTGCAGAAGGCGAAACTCCGGGAACGGTTTACTGCCATCAACAAGCAGGTCCTTGATGGCCAGAAGGCCCAGCAAAAGCTAGAGATTAAAAAGGCTGTGGAGGCAATCACCACATATTTCAAATTGCCGGAAAATGAGAACTCGTCATGTCTTGTTGTCAAACTTCCGACGCCAGCAAGCGCCAAGGCAGTCAGTGAATCTATCAACCATGTCAAATCGAAAATGCAAGGTAAGAACGTGTATGTTCTTGCCGTGGACTCCGAACAAACCCGAGTTGCGCACGGCTGCTATGTGTCCAAGGTATGTAACCACTGCTTTGGTTGAGGATGGTAATATTGGTTCGAGTTTAACATTATTCAATATAGGAACTCGGCGACCAGGGTGCCAGTGCAAACGACTGGGCTGCTGTCGTCTCTAGTGCTGTGGGCGGCAAGGCTGGAGGGAAAGGATCGACTTCTATTGGCAATGGTGTCAACACAGACAAGGTGGACGAGGCTGTTTCACTAGCTTCGGACTACCTGAGTAAATTCAAGCTCTAATTTGGTTTGTTTGTGATTCTTCGGGTGACTTCAACGATAAGATTGACCATCTATATCTGCAATCTATGTCTGTTTTCTTTCTGCTAGGGACTTTAGAAAATCCAAATGAATCGACCAAAAGAAATGTTGTTTTACATGAATTTCTTTTTTTTTGTGAACGAGGAACTACTATATATGGTACTAAAATTTATATACATTCTCAAAACCTCGATGTAGATATATAAAAACGTTTTTAGGGTGCTGAGATTTCCAAAGGCAAATTTTCCCAGGTATTAAAACTTTTACCTAGATGCTACGTTATCTATTCTACCTTTAATTCTTTCTTAGATAAGTATATATGGTTAGGATAATTAGTATGGGAGTATATTCTCTATGTAAATATATGCTTTAGAAATATCAAATAATAGCCTAAACAAATATAGTATACTATAGCGGTATTAATATATACTATAGCGGTATTAATATATATAGTAGTAGTTTTTATAAGTATAACTATTACTAAGTATAACTATTACTAATAGTCACTAACTAACTATGGTTTCCTAAGTATTCACTACTATAAGGAGCTTATGATCTAGAGAAGATCTAGAAGACCTAGAAGAGATAAGATTATAATTTATTACTATCTAGCCTATTATTATATAGTGCTAACTAGTTATAGTAAGTATCGCTTATAGTAGTTATATATATATATTAGTGCTTATCCTTAAGTCTTAGTTATAATCATACTATTACTATTAGGCCTTATATAGGCTTAGATCTATAGAATAGACTCTTATTAGGTAGTACTAGATAGTAGCGCCTAGTTAAGCTATACTTAGGATCTATATTAAGTAATAAGAGACTAAGTATACCTCTCCTAGTAGGGTAGTTATCTTAAGTATAAAATAAGTATAAAGCTAGAACTATAGGTTCTAAGTAATAATATATAATTAAACGCGAAGAATTAAATATATATATAGTAATAACTATCCTTATATATTCTAGTCCTTCCTATTAGGGCGATAGGATTCCTATTCTTCTATTAGAATAGGATCCTATCCTATTATTAGAATAGGATATTATATATAACTAACTATCTTATATTAATTAGAAGTATATATTATATTAGTAAATAATAGACTAGAAATAGTCTTAGATAATAAGAGAGTAGAAATCTAGTCTATAGAATTATAAGAAATAAAAGGGCTAAGTAAGAAGATAGTAAAAGGAATCTAAGAGGAATATAAAATAGTACTAATATAGTATAGATTTAAGGTCTAAGATAATATAGATTATATTAGTTTTAAAACTAATTCTTAAGAAAGAGAAGAATTAAAAGAGAGAGATTCTTCTTCTTCCTTAATATAGAGAAAGTAAGAGCTAAGTAAGAGCTAGATAAATAGTTTATAATAATCTTACTTTAAATATCTCTTTATTATAGACTAGCTCTAGATAAGTCTAGAGCTTACTCTTAATCTAGATACTAAATTAGAAGTAATTTAGTACTATTTTAGGATATCTAAAGTATCCTATAATTTCTATCTTAGAAAAATAGATATTTATCTTTTCTTTTATAATAACTATTCTCTCTCTTTCTATAGAATTAACCTTAATTCTAGATAAAGAATAGTATAAGAAGCTAATAGAAGTTTAGGGAATATATATTAAAGAAATTCTAGTTATATATAATATATATTTTTTTATTTAATATAGTATATAGT